AACAGGATCCCTAAGGTTTACTAGCAAGATACACCCACCAGAGTATTAAAAAGCCTTTATTGTGTCTCACTGCAACCATCCTTGGAATACTTTATAGAAGTCTGGCCAATGCATGTTAAAATGACTAATTAATATATGAAGGAGGCAATTACAGCATTTTAGTATGATAAGGTGAAGTCTCACCCAAACAAGAGAGAGTCTGGTTTATCTGGTTTAGCAAAATTACAGCATTACTCTCTAGATAAACACACTCAAGGTAAGGGGAAACAAACATTAAAAAGAAAAATTGCTACCTAAGATGAAAAATAATGTTGGCAACTGACACTGCCAAACTGCTTTAACATACAACTGCAAATACTACCCAAGTATCAGTTACTTAGTTTTGAAGTAACCTTCCAACAGCTAGCTGACAAAGTACACAAATCTTATTTTATTATTATGACTATCTCATGTAACTTCACTTAAAAAAAATCTAACAAGAGAGGGGAGGAAAAGGTCCAAGCCAGGAGTCTTCTTCCATTTTCTGGAATACAGGGAATAAGAAGAAAATAGGTCACCACATTAATTCCGAAGTGACCACCTGCACCACTCAAGTGGCACATCAATAGTCCCAAGCTGTCTGCAGCTATTTCAGGCTAGGCCAGCCCCAGCTCTTGAAAAGTAAAGTTCTCTTACACCTGTATGGACCAGCTGCCAAAATAGCAGCTGGAATGACGGAAGAAAGGTCCTTCTATACCAAGCTCTGTGCAAATTCCACGCTGCTCAGCTTTGACTATTGTCACTAACCATGAAAAACAATTCATGTTGCTTCTGGTGACAAGGGCAAGAATGCCCATGTAAAGAACAAACCAAAGTTTATAGCAATGATGTCAGGGCACCAGGTCCTTGCACCAGATCAAATATTTAGACATTTCAGAGAACCTCAAACTCAACTTTAGAAGTTTGATTTTGTTTTTAATACTTGTTCCTCCTATATTTTTGCATGTAAACATAAATCACTAGGAAAAACTAGGGATAAATACAAAAACTCCTCAAAACTGAAGCCATGTCCAGAGCAAACACTGTTGTTCAACTAGCTGAAGGGGATTTTTTTTTTTTTTCCTTTTTGATATCTCCCAGTGATGATATTGGACACTTGCTGTTTGAGACTGTATTCAGTCATTCTTCCTGGGAGGTGTTCATGTCAGAAGGAATTAGGATTATAATAGATTTGGGGGAGGGGAAGGAAGGAAAGGGAGGACAACAGAAGTCTTAGAAGAGACAGAGCTATATGGCAGTACACAGATACTCATACAATTGACTGTCGAGCACTGAGGATAAGCAAGCTAAACACCAGAAATAATTGTGCCTTTAGTTGAATACAGAAAGGCAGAAGCAACCTTAACTGAGTCAGTCTGGCTAGCATCTATTACAGGAGTTCATCAGGATTTAGAGCAAGACCAGACAAGAATAATGCTGAATTCTAAAACCTTCTAACATTGCAACACTTCTCCAGCCCGCTGTGATTCCTGGGAGGATTATTATAGATATAAGAGTCCTGAGGGCCAAAAGTTGTTTGGGTGTGAGCATGCAGAAGCTGCACAAAGCAGCAAACCACAGCCAGGCTGTGTGCAAGGCCAGCTGCCCCCACACTGAGGATAAGCTACATCGCATTTTCTAATGGTAAGGCAGGCCAGTAACCACAGGTACTGGGTCACAAACCCTGAAATATCATCCTCATTTTTCTCACAGTAATTCACATAGCCCACATGTGCATATAGCTCCTTCCTCTGACATTATCTGCACAATACCTATAGCTTCTTTCCAACTAAGGCTTAAATGAAGGCAAAAACTGCTAAAAAAAATCATGGCACTCTAAGCTACAAGGAGCTGTTTTGTGACATGTTCTGTATTATGCAAGTCCACTGAAGCGAAAAGTTTGCCTTCACATGTCTTAAGAAGTTCAGACAAAAAAAAATTAAACTTATCCTTTGATCCTTTATGCAATAATGAAGTAGTCTTCACCTGGCAAGATGGTGAAAACAAAACCCCCTTAAATACAAAGCTAGATGTAAAATAGGCAACTCCTGCCTCATGCAGAACACACTGTTTTCCAAGCTGTTTTCCTTGATGCATAGCCACTGAAGGGAATTATAATCTTCTTAAGTTCTTAGAAAAAGTAAATACAGACAGCAAGATCTCAACTGTATTAGCAAGAACTTTCAGCATACCAATTAATTTTATCACCCCAAATTAGAAAGACAAGCATTCACAGTGAAATAAACACATGAGTGGAAATAAAACCACTCTTGAGCTGTTGAAGCCTAGCAGGACGACTGCAAAGTGTTAATTCGGTAACATGAAAAATGAACAGTTCTACTTTTTGCCTTAGCCTCTACAACCTAAAACTTCCCCTCTTAAAAGTATTATGGTATTACACAAAAACCAGTTATCGCCATGCTTTGGTTCACTCAAGCCAGTCAAACAGAAATAGAATCAGTTGAATTTTCCAACTTTACCTTAACTAACCTCACATAAGAACTAAACAATTTTTCTTTCGAAATGAAGCTCAGCAACAATTTTCTACAACATCCCAAAGTAACATACCACCACTCTACTCCAAGGAAACCACTTCATGAGAAGTCAGCACAGACTTTAACCAGATCAGTTTTGGAATATAAATAAGGAGTCATTCACAGCAGCAATTTACCCAGGGAAGTCGGCTGTCTACTGGAAACAACCACCATCAAGTACCACTAAGGACCTCTACAAACCACAGATAAAGGAAGCTTTTGACACTGAAAATGTTGTTCTCATCTTTAAATACGTGACTTACTAAACCTGCAACACAATTTTTACGGAGAGGTTTGTTTCCTTCCTGAGATAGTGTCACAAGATAAGAATCAGCGTGGTTTTACAGCACTTGGTGTGTGATCTTCCACAAAGATTCTGAAGTATTTGGCACATATCCTCAGCATGACAGTAACACCACAGAAGCAAAGCAACTGAAACAGCCTACTGAGGAAATGACATTGTGAGGAAATACTTCTTAAGAAACGACAGAAAATTTCAGTCTTTGCTCAACCCTCAATCAGCAAATCACCTTTCTCAAAGTACTCTATATACTCCATGAAGTCTGCAGCATGGAGATACGCAATGCACAAACGAGGAAAGAATTAGTTTTCTGGTTTAGTATATTTCTTTCCTAATGTCCATTTGAGATTTGTAATTCTGAAGGAAGTCCAGGTTATACTCTTGCTGCCTCATGTCCAGATTGTCTTACTATTCCTGAAGATCGTATTAGCAAATTGCTGTTGCAACTCCTCAGTATGAGTGACCACCAAAATATTTTAGATTTGTTGAGTTTTCAGGGAGTTTTTTTTTATGTTTTCTTTCTGATCCATGGGATGCTTTAGCTAGATCTACCCTGATCATCACACAGTGATTTCTGGTCAAGACACAGTCTGAACTGCCTACTGAGTAAGAAAAATTATCACATTATCAAAATACTAGAAATATACACATGAAAGTGGTGAGGAGAAAACTAATCAAGCCCCTACAACACTTACAGCCATACAAGCACGCCTGTCTGAGGCTGCAAAAACTGCGGAAGCCAAACTTGGTCCTAAAATCACCTCAGAGCGACTCCACCAGCGAGGCGCAGCACACTGCGCGCACACACGTCTCCTCGTTCGCCGCTCAAGTCTCCCAAGTTTCACCCGCAGGCGGGGGAGCGGGCCAGCTGCGCGGAGGGCGGCACGGGCGGCCGGGGGCGTCGCTGCTCGCCCGCGCCGCCCTCCGCACCAGGCGCCGGGACTCGCTTTCTCCGCCGGAGCCCCCGGGCACCCCCAGGCGGGGCGGGGCCGGGAACAAAGCCCGGCTCCGTGCCACCCTCCCCGTTCCGTCCCGCCATTCCCGGCCGGCCCGGCCCGCTCCCAGCCCCGCCATCCCCTGCGGCGGCGGCTGCCCGGCGGCTGCGCGGCCCCGCTGTCCCGGGGGGCGGCCGGAGCCGGCCGGACGGGTGCGGGCGTGGGGCGGGAGGAGCCCAGCGACGGCCGCCGCTGCACGCTCGGCCCGCGGGGCTGTGCGGGAGCCGCTCCTACCCCGGAGGCTCCGGGGCCGCGGGCTGAGAAGGCTGGGCACGCACGGGTGGGGCCGCGGAGGAAGGGGCGGAAGGAGACAGAGCGCGGGCCGCGGCGGGGATCGGGGGAGGCGCCGTCTCCCCGGGGCAAAAGGTCCGGAGCTCGGGCGGGGCGGCCAGGCGCACGCAGCACCGCCGACCCCTGCCCCGTCTCCGCCCTACTCATGCCCCCGCGGCGACGGCGGGCAGGGCCGCCCGGCCACACGCTGCCCTTCCCACCGTCCCTCCCCTCCCCACCGTAAACAAAGCGGCGAGGACCGGGGCCGAGCCAGTGCCGGGGCCGCACAGCACAACCCGCGGGCTCCCTTCCCGTCGGGGCAAGGCGCCTCCTCTCTCCGATCAGCCACGACCGGATCCCGGCTGCGCCGCCGCCTCACCTCTCCCGCCGGTAGAAGCTGCCGCAGCCCTGGGCGCCGCCGCCTACCTCAGCGCGGCTGCGGTCCCCCCGACACTTCAGAGCGAGCCTGGTGGGACCCAGCGAGCAACGCACGCCACCGGCATCCCCCGCCGGCTTTATCCCGACGCCGCCTCTCCCCTCCAGCACCCCGACGTCCCGGCGCGGCGCTCCCGCCCCCCCCGCCGCCCCATTGGCACGCGCGGCCCCGCCCGGCCCCGGCGCTCACTGGGGCAGGCGCGCGGCACTCACAGGGCCCCGCCCCCGCGCTCCCTCCCCGTTGGCTCCTCAGCGTCCGGCCCGCCCTCGAGGCACCGCCCCTCCGCACCGCGGCCAATCGCGACGCAGCGAGGGGCGAGCCGAGCCCCGATTGGCGATGCCCCCGACCCCCTCCCGCTTCCCGTGGCTGTGATAGGCCGGGGCGGCGGCTGGTCCCGCCCCCGCAGCGCTCCGGGCGCCGCTCCCCTCGGGCCGCCCGGGCAGCGCTCCGGCCCGGCTCCGCGCAGCCCCGCGCCGGGCCGGGCCGGCGGGCAGGGCGGCCCAGCATGTCTCCGCGCCCCCGGACAGAGCAGGACCGATCGCCGCCGTTAGGAAGGCCGGTGTCATCAAGGTAGCCGGGAATCAAACGGCTTTCTGGGCACGCAGCGGCGTCGCTGGGAAACATCAAGGAAGTGTCCTGGCTGCTGAGGCGGTGCGGCCCCGCAGAGGTCCCGCCGCGCCGGGCCCGTGCCGTCAGCGCGCTCCTCTCGCCCGCAGGAAGCGGTCGGAAAATCCGCCCTTCCCCCCAGCGAATAAGGGCAAATACTTGTGTCTCGGCCAGCTGCACAATTGAATTTTTTTTTTTTTTTTTGCCAGGAATTACTGGCGTTGTTCTTCCAAGACGAATCGGCGGGCTTCCCTCGCAGAAGCAGCCTGGCTCCCAGGAAGCCTGCGGGGCAGGGCAGGGCAAGCTGCCGCCACCCCGGCGTGGCATATAAAGCACTTGCACTGCTCTGGCTATTGGATATTCGCTTTGATTTCATGTAGCTCCGCAGGCGCCAGGCTCCAAGGTTTATCGCAACGCACTAACAGTGAGTCGGAGTAGTAAGATAATTATTATTATCATCCTCAGAAAACTGAGCCGATACTGGGACTAGCCGGGATTTCACTAATACAACAAGTCTGGTGGTTGGAAATAACAATGTATTTCTAAAAAATGCAAAGATCAGGGAGCCAATGTTAACACAACAGTACCAACATTAACATTTTAACAGGTTAAAAAGTAACTATATTTTTTGTTAAAGTGCCTCAAAGCGTCCAGGCTTTAAAAAAAAAAAAAAAAAAAAACCAACAACGGGGTGGGGGGAAAGAAAGAAAAATAAATACATGTCAAGTGTGACAAAATAACACAAGATTTGCAAAACATTATTAGAAAGAATCCTGAAGTCAACATTTTCCCACTGTCAAACATAAGCCTGTCATTCAAGTACTGTATTATAATAAGCATTGCCAAGAAAAGTGGAACTGAGGGAAAAGTACAAAGAACAAATGCACCAGCACAACAGTTGTAAAATTTTCTATTAGAAGTTCAAAGTTCTGTACCACACTTGGTACAATTATAGTTTATTTGCAGTAAAAGCCCCTCCATGCTCAACTACTTGTGTCCATGTGCTGCATACCCTTAAGACACATGATGTACATCAACTTGCAGAAACCAGTAGGAAAAGAAAGCAGGAGAGGAAGAAAAAGGTATCCTGGTAGCTGAGCTTAAGTCTTCCCTGTATATCTAAGAATTTTGTGGAGTACTTTTTACAATTGTACTACAGTCCAAGCATGGGTGATAGAGCACCTAACAGGACAAAAAGGATTCATTGCTACTGGTGTTGTGCATCATTTCACACAATTGATTGAACAAAGTATGTCACAAGTTGCTTCTGATTTTGAAGTTATTCTGAGTTAGGGCCACAGTGATCTTCCCAATAAATGCAGATAACAGATAAAAGCAGCAGAACCTCACCACCAATGAAAATCAGATCACTGGTATTTAACCCTGAGCACCTGAACTTCACAGGATGTACAATCACTTTCAGAACCCAAATGCTCCTTTACATGCCAACTTTACAAAATAGCTCTAAGGATCAGCTAACATGTAAAATAATTTTCAAAATACATTACAGTACCAGTTAATATTAATGGAAATCATTATCTATACAGGTAAAGTCCTTACTAATTGAGGCTTTGACTATCAGCTCCTCAAAGACACCCACTCTTGGTTCTTGCTGATGTGCCATAATGCTTCAGGCAAATAACTGATTCTTTGTTTGCCACCAGTTGCAGTAGTTACAACAATGATTTTTTTTTTTTTTTTTTGGTATGAGGCACTGTTATTTCCTCATTAGGGAGATATTTTTCCAAATACAGTCCTGTTAACTCTTGGCAGCCACCAGAATCTCTCAGCTGTTGCATTTTACTGTATTGTCCAGTACACCAAGCAAAAAAAAAAAAAACCAACAAAAAAAAAAATCACCATTCACATTGTTCTTTGTAATTGAGTACATACACTTCCAGTACTTGTTTTAGAGAGTTTCCTTACCAGATCAGCGTTTACTACAACTATTTCATATATCTAATAGTTTCAGTTATGTCTTATACAGCATTGTAAAACTTGTTAGGCCACCTCTTTGTTTTGCAGTGGAGTTATATAAAACCTCTCACTGACTGTTAACAAGGGAATGAAAAAAATTTAGCAAAAACAGAAACTTTTAAACCACTTGACAGACTGCACAGAGCTCACCCTAATAATTCTTGGAGTTCCATCTTCAAGAGTTCTGAATATTCACCACTTTGCTTTGCAAAGTACTGCTATTAGAAACCATGTGATTTTCACACTTTCCGACTTGTTAACCTAAGTAATCAGCTCGTTTTAAAAGAATCTCGTGATTTTAAAGTTTTCATTTTTCTTTCGAGGCATCTCCTTCACAAGAAATAAATTCCAATTTCTAAAGGTTAATTATGAAGTTTTTTATTACAGTATTTTGAATCTCAAATATATTCTTCATTCTTGCATAATACTAAGTCATAAAGGAGAAAAAGTTTAAGAGGCATAGATACGTGAGTTGTAATACTTCTAAAAATAATTTTGACTCATAAAGTGGCCTAAAAATATATAACTTTATGATATTACAAATAATCTATTATTTTTGTGTTTAAAACAATACAAAACAGCAACGATAAAACATCTGCTGAAGTGTCAAAGCACCATTGTGCCTATTGGTAAAACAAACAGTTCAAGATCCCTGAGAGTTTTTACCTTAAAAAATACTCTAGTGCATAGATTTGTAAACAAAAATTGGCATATTGCATAATGGCACCTGTTAAAGCAGAAACTAGAGAAAACAGTATTCAAGAAACGGGTTAAATATCTAGCCTTAAGCCTTGCAAGAGAACAACATTTCATGTTTATCAGAAGGACTTGGTGATGCAATCACCAATTGTAAACTGAAGTTCTCTTAGTTACATGAAAGATAGCATGATTATAAAGGAAGCTGTAAAAAAAAGACCAGAGGGTCAGAAAGGGTGTCCTTGTTAACATTTATTTCAATGAATGAACTCCAAAAACAGGTCTTGAGTACAGAGAATGAAGTCCCAAGGATGTAGATATGCCCTACAATCTATTTCATGTATGGCTCTACAACTGAAGTTCTAAGCCAGCAAATGGATGTATGTAGCCAGGTGAAACCTTAAAGTACCTCACAAGCAGGCTGTACAATATTTTTGAATGGATGGTAAACTCACCAGTCTGCTGCATGATTTTAGTTTTTTCCCCATTAGAAGTCTAAGAGACTTGAATACAGTAAAGTGAGAAAACTGAATGGATAACTATCAATCTTACAAGAGAGGAGCAAAACAGCAGCTCAGAGTCATCAGCAGCTCAAGCATGGCCAACCCCACAAAAATAAATTAAAAATATATGTATTTTATGATAAGAGGTATGAATAAAAGAACCCCAGTATACATAGTTTCTGGTTCTATTCACCTATCTTGTTTCAAGAATCCTATCTCCTCTATAGCTTTCATTAGTCTATTTGCCCTATGCCCTTCACATGTTCACAGTGTTCCTTTTATAGTTCTCTACCAATTTCAGACCTTCAATCTCAAAGACCTTCCTTCTCCTATCTTCAGGCATGGGCCCTTTATGTACAGCCATCAGAAAGCTGCAATTTAAACCAGATTCTGGGGTAAAGAGACAATGGCTTGCTCTGCAAAAGGCTTAAAGGGAGTGGTACATTCCACAGGCAAGTATGGGCATATCGGCATATGGCGAGCTCAAGCCACAGTACTGCTTGTTTACAAGAACATGTCAAGGCATACCTTGCACTATGAAAACCTTTCTTTTCCCCCTCAGCTTCTCCTTATTTCTCAAAAACTGCAGGCACCCGCTAGAGCTGCCATGGCATTGACTAGAATCAAGCACACAACTCCCTAGTCTTCTACTCCATGACAATTCAAATTTATACTGCTCTCGAGCTCAAGAGTTGCCCAGCAGCCATCGCTTAGTCCTCACCCAGAAAACCTCTTTTTTTAGGCAACAGAGATGCTTTCCTTCTAGGCAATTCTGGCCAAGCATCTTCAGCAAGCGGGTAGCAATGCTGGGGGTACCGTACCGCCATCCGGAGCCGGCAGGGACGGACAGAAGCTTTTGCCGTTCCCGAGAGCGCGGCCCGCGCCCAGCGCCGGCGGTGCCGCCGCCCCGCGGCGCCCGCGCACGCGCACCGCGCCCGGCGTGCGCCGCGCGCACTTCCGGGTCGCGGCGGCCATGGAGGCCGGGCAGGGCCCCGGGCCCGGCCCCGGCGGCGACGCGGCCCAGGTAACTGCGCTGGCTCGGCTCGCTCCGCGGGGAAACCTGGCGGGGCCGGGCGGGCTCGGGAAAGGGGAGTCCTGTCGGCCTCTCGGCCGCCCCTGCCCTGAGCTCCACGCCGGGCCGGTGCCCTTGAGGCCTCTTGGGGGCCGGGTGGGGGATCCTGGCAGGAGGTAAGGAGGTGTTCCTGTCTGACCGTGAGACATCGAGGTGGCATCTTGGCCTGTATCAGGAATAGTGTGGCCTGCAGGAGCAGGGAAGTCACCATCCCCCTCTACTCGGCAGTGGTGAGGCCATACCTCAAGTATCGCGTTCAGATTTGGGCCACTCGGTTCAGGAAGGGCGCTGAAGTGCTGGAACATGTCCAGAGAAGGGCAGCCTCGTGAGGGGTCTGGCGTACAAGTCTTATGAGGAGTGGCTGTGGGAGCTGGGGTTGTTTATCCTGCAGAAAAGGAGCCTCAGGGAGACCTTATCACTGTCTACAACTGGTTGAAAGGAGCTTGTAACCAGGTGGGGATCGGCCTCTTCTCCCAGGCAACCAGCGATATGACAAGAGAGCACAGCATTAAGCTGTACTAGGGGAGATTTAGATTAGACATTAGACGGAATTTCTTCACAGGAAGGGTCGTTAGATTTGGAATGGACTGCTCAGGTAGGTTCTGGAGTCACCGTCCCTAGTGGTGTTTTAGGAAAGACTGGACATGGCACTTAGTGCTACTATTCAGTTGGAAGTGGTGTTCAGTCCTGGATGACCTCAAAAGTCTTTTCCAACCCAACTGATTCTGCAACTCTCTGTCCCCCTGGTGCCAATGGCCTTCTCACCGCTGTGCTTCTCCTGGCTGGCAGTGTGCCTGGCGGGACAGGGTCAGCACCTCCACACAAACCTCTCACACACTGGTGAAACAGCAGGTCAGCTCTCGCTGAATTGCGTCTGTGTAAACCAACAACACACCCTGTTGTCCTTGAAACCATGAGGAATACTTCGAAAAGGCGATTAATGGTCTGTCAGATGTCAGCTATTTGGAAGGCTGGTTAGAGGGACCAAAGCAGGCTTTTCTGAAGTAAAAGGACTGAGCTAAGTTGGGATCTGACTATGCACAAAGTATTTCCTGCTCTCTCCTATAATTTTTAGAAGCAATGGATTTTTTTTTTAATTACATATTTCATGTAACATTTATGGACAAAAGGCACTGGTTTCTTAAGTATAACAGGGTGAAAGTGTAGAAACTACAAGGTATGAAAGTTAGACATTAAGTTTATTGATTGAAAAATGCCCCCTAACTGTTTTGTCCATTCTTTTCTAATTACTTTTCCTAATGAAAGAGGGAAGTACCAAAGCCTTATGTTCCAACAGAGGAGGAAAGAAGACTCCTCAAGGAATGTGCTGAAGAGAGTTTTCGGTATAGAGGTAAGCTCACTATGCTGGTAAACTTGCTTGCTTTCCTTACACCCTTTGCTTTTGCTGAGGCATTACAGAGGGCCTGGGTCAATATAGCACAACAGAGCATTAATGAGCTTCACATGTACTGGAATTGTGTCCCAGCAAATGCTGATCCATGTAGTATTTACTAAGAGTTTGCAGCAGTTTCATAAAAGGTACAGCATAATTTCTAAGTTTCATACCTCATAAAAAGATCTCTTCATATTTTAAGTTATTGTGGTTATTAAAAGTCTGAAAATAGATCTAATTAATGAGTCTCATTGATATTACTGGATTTTCTTTTTTGTGTTATTTCTGCATTTTTATTTTCATATTTTATTTTTATCTTTAACATGCAAGAATAAAATAGTTTAACTTATAACCATTGCTTTTCATTTTTATAGAGACCTCTGAAGAGAACAATATATAGGTAGTCACTCTGTTGAATTTTTGGAGAAAATTGCTGTGTCAGTGCATGGTGTCTGTAACCCTAAGGTTCAAGGCATACTTGATTTTTGTACACCTGGTCACGAGGATTAAAAAGGCCTTCTGATGTGATTGTTACCTGCTGTTTTATCACGCACTAGTAGGTTACTGATGCTGATAGATGGCTTGGCAAAAAACAGGAGATGAAGAATTCAGTGGCTGATTTGCTAATTTTAGCACACTGGGGCTCTGATTTCTCATGGAAGCCAATACTTTCAGGGACAGCTCCTAAGGCATTGTGATTTTGAATTAATGATTCAAAGTTCTGTTTTGTCTTTCTCCATTGGTTTGGCATTCTCCTCATCCACTTTTACACAAATACTTGGAAATCTTCAGCATATTTGCTACAATGTAGCCATGTTCTGTGTCATTTTATAAGCGAAAGAGGCAGGTCCATTAGTGGTATGATGATGGTTATGGTTTATTGATAATCTCTCTTTTGGAAGACAAAGACGAGAGACAGTTGTTTGTTCCTAAGCTGTTCTGCTGCTTGGCAGTGTAGGTTACTGTCCTGTGCATCTTTATATAGTCCCTGAAGAAACAACATGTAGGTATTACTTGAAAGCCCTAAGTTAGTTTCTTGAGTCATTTCCCTTTAGGGAACTACAACAGTAACAGTTTTTTTTCCCAGGGGTTGTGTACTGTGCTGTTATCTCACTGTGATAGCCTAAAGTCCATCACTGTGTTCTAGGTCTCCTGTCTTTGTTTCCCTGGTCCGCATACACATACCAGACTGTTGTATTCACTGTATTAAATACATATTGCTTCAACACCCCTTTGCAAGAGGGTGCTGGTGTGACTGCCCTAAAATCCTCACTTTGTATTTTGATAGCTTTTGTTATTCACTGAGGTTACTATAAATTTGTGTATTTTCAGTTTGTTTATTCAAATTTCAAGCTGTAGCAAATTTTACTCATTCTTACAAGCTGTCTGTTTTGTCATAGTTTCTTTTGACAGCTTCTGCCACTAGTCATTTCACAATTGAGTTTAATATGTGCTTTACTGGAGTTACTGGTTTGTAATCACGTTATCGTATAAATTCTTACTCTTAAAAATGCACACTACAACCTTCAGCTTCATCCTGCACACTTCAAACCATGCTAACAAAATCAAATCATACTGATACAACTTTTTCCCCATAAAACAATTTTGACTTGGGTACATTTTATTGCCATCCTTATGTGTTGATATATCAGGCTTCTGTTATTTTTACTAGATTTATTTTCTTCCTGAAGCAGAAAAAGTACTCCCATAGCATTAATGGTTCCTGATTTATTAAGTTTGTTTTGTTGTTGTTGTTTTTTTCTACAGTTGAATAATTCATATTGATTTTTAGTCATGAATCTTAAGTTTTCATTTAGCTATTTTTAAAAAACTTTTTGTTACCATTTCAGGTCACTTACATGCTCACATACGAGTGTAGCCTGGTTTTAATATCTAGAACGTTTCTGTTAGGTCTATAAATAATTTCAAACTTCTAAGGATTAGACTGAAATTTTCTGCAATAATTTTTGAACATATTTTTCTTTACACACTCTCCTTCCCCTTGTTTTGGTGGGTTTTTGGGGTTTTTTGTTGTTGTTGGCTTTGTTTTTGTTTTTCTTTTACAATTTAGTTTCAAATCTGTGCTGTCATTTTATATCTCAGAAAATCTAGAACAGTAAATTTTTGGAAATCTAGGTCTGGAATCTCTAAAAGCTTCAGATTTTTAATATCTAATAAGTTGGAAGGTTTGATTCTCTATTCTGATGTTTTGCTGTAATCTTGCTTTGAACCAAGGAGCCAATATTTCTTCTTAAAAGTGACATCCAGTCACATTTACCCTGAGTTAGATGCTGGTTGGATTCGTTACCTAGTTTAGACATGTCAGAATTTGTGAGGGGATTAGCTGTTAATTTGCTCTCCCAAAATATAACTTGTCTTCAAGTATGAACTTAATTAGCAAATTTTGTGCATCAATACACTTCAACTGTCTAGTGCTGTTGCAAAAATTTCTCTCCTAGAAGTCATTGAGCCTTTTTGTAACATCTACATTTTCAGACTTGCATGAAACTAAATTTCTTTATGGCATGTCTAAATCTTTAATGTAAATAACTTTAGCCTTCTGTCATGTTTGTTACTTCGTTGTCCCTGTAACTTGTGCAGTGGTGATGGTCTTTATGAATAGTTGCACAGTAATCTTCCTGATAAAATAATTATCATTGCTTGAAAGAAGCATTCATTTTGCTTTTGGCAATCTCCAAATGCTTCTTGCCACATAAAGTCTTTCAATATAAGAAAAATTGACATGAACTGTTAGGCTGGTTGTGGTAGGCAGTGATGGCCCTCCAGAATGTTGTTTTCTCTGCATTCCTGAGTTTAACTCCACGTTGTATAATTTGATCTGTAAGCTACAGGAAAAGCTGCCCTGTTTTTTAATTTGCTGGAAAACAAAACATTACCTGATATTAATCAATCTGATTTATAGTTCTATAAGGGTTAAACTTTCTCCAAAATTTTTATGTTAAAACATCAAGAATTTAGACTATCAACAATTTTGAGACGCACTGGCCTCTATATGACTTCCTCCTTTTGTGAAGAGCTGTGTATGCCTCTCTAGCTTAAAGTTCTGCACCTTGATGCTGTAGCAGTTGTAGATAGACCTGGAGTCCCGTCTGGAGAGCTTTATTCCATCTGATGCTGGCTTTTGTATTTTTGGAAGTATGAAATGTAATGCAGGCGGGATGACTCACTGACTTGTACAACATAACTTGTAGTAGGTCTTAAAAACTGGAATTGACAATTTTGATCATTTATATACAGTTTATTAATTATATATCTATCCTTATATTACACAAATGAGCTTAGGAAGGCATAGCAACTCTTTATTGCATATTTGTTAAATGTGATAGAAAATATTGAAAATTGTATTTTAAGCAGTTTTTTTTCTTCACAGCTTTTCCTTTGGCTGCAGTGAGCATGCTGGGTACTAGTTTCTTAATTAGAAAAGGTAAAGTATAAAAATACTTCTGTTTCATTTCAGTTTGCTCAAGGGAAATACCTTTCTGCTGGAAGGTTATTATGATAATATAATGTCCAATCTACTTGTAAATAAAAGAAGTTCAGACTCTGCAGCTACATGATTTGCAGTTCCTCAACATAAAGAAGGAAACTTAAAAAACACATGAACTTAAAATCAAGTTCATGTGTATTTTATGTTGTGACAAGTGCAATATCTCACTGATTATGAAACAGTATGTTCTCAGTGTGTTAATAACCCTGTGATTAAATATGATTAAAGAGATGATTCCTAGATTTTTTAAATTTTATGGGGAATTCAGACATTAGGGTTTTTTTTAGATTTTCTTTAAGGTGAAGTGTAAAAGAGTAACCTGCTTCTACAAACATAACTATGTTGAAGTTTTCCAAGTTAATTCTTGATATCTGATTACATATGTGTTACGTAATATCATATATCTTATCCTAATATCTGATTTCATCCTCATTTTCAGGTGTTCTAAGAGATACCACAAGATTTGGCTCTTTTGTTAAAGTTGCATGTAAGTAAAAGCTACATATAAGTTCAGCTTCTATTCATGGTGTATATTCTGGACTCTATTATGCAGATGTAATTCCCCTGGGGCCGACTGGCTGATTCACTGTGACTCAAGTTGGCAGGGACCCATAAGGACCAGAGTCCGACCTCCCTGCTGCTGACAGAGCAACCTAAAACTACACCATGTGACTGAGAGTGTTTGCTAGATGCTCCTGGAACCCTAACAGGCTTGGTGCTATGTCTGCTTCCCAGGGAGCCTGTTCCTGTGCCTGACAACCCTGCCCACGAAGAACCTTTTCCTAATGCCCAGTGTGACCAATGGTTTTGATCTAAAAGAGGAGAGATTTAGATGAGATGTTAGAAAGAAATCCTTTACTGAGGGTGGTGAGGCACTGGAGGTTGCTCAGAGTAGTTGTGGAGGCCTCATTTTTGGAAGTGTTCAAGGACAGGTTGGATGAAGCCCTGAACAACCAGGTTTAGTGCGAGGGTGTCCCTGGTCATGGCAGCAGAGTTGGAACTAGACTATCTTTAAGGTCCCTTTGCAACCCAAGCCATTTCATGATTCTGTGATTTATTCACTGTCTGAATTTGGACTGCGCATTTTGGACAAATTTTGTTTATAAGGTTTGTATACAATTGCTTGATAAATGTAACATAATCATTTAAGATAAAAACATTGTAAATAGATACTGTGCAACCTTACTTTAAATTACATTGCCAGAATACACCCACCACTCCCTTCCGAATTTGAAGGTCTTAATTCATGTATCTTATGTGTCCCATTCAGGCTATTTTAATTACCTTTTTTTCCTGGACATTATGTATGCACAATTGTAGGAAAAAAGCAATTTCATGTGAATGATTTTTGGATGAAGTATAAGCAAAAATAAATTATTAATTTAATAAATTAACCTTTTCAATGTAATACAGGACAGTAAAACAGGAAGTTGCCATCTTGCCAATCTGTGCAGATACAGCCAGTTTACTTCGGTGGGAAGAGGGTAAACCCCATGATTTGTGGTCAAGGAAGTGTTGTTTAAGCAGATAAATGAATGTGGGAGACTAGGGCTCCAGTTGTTTATGCTAAATTCTGGTTACTTTCTTTGAACACCAAACAATGGTATAACACAAACATTTCTAATAATTAATAGAACTGCTGTTTCCCCAATCCTACACATAAGGGCCGCATTCTTATTTAATAGAACTAATTTATTAAAATCAGGGGAAAAAATAAGGGGCAGCTGGGCTGGCCAGGATATTTTGCCTATAGGAATTACTATACTTTTCTCAGTAGTTTTCTAAGTACTCTTGACAATTTACTGAAACTTAAGTTAGTCAGGGCTGATTCACTACATTGAGAGGATCCCCTTCAACACAGCAGAGAGCTATTGGTCCTCTCTGACAAAGAGGAGGAAGATTCCTATGCCTGTGTGTGCTTCATGTTAGTCTGCAGTGGGACTTGGCCATGTCTAATCAGCTTCTCTAATATCTTGTCATAGTGAATGCAGAGGCAAAGAACAATACCTAATTTACTGTGCTGACTTGAAAAATGTGGATCATCTGGCTGTTAGTTCTGTAATAAAATAAACCAAATACTTTGGCCAATAATTACTTTGAGTGAAATATCTTCCAGAGAGATACTTCCCTTTTTCTTTACTAGAAGACCTCAAGGAAAAGATACTTTCTCTTTGTAATTTATGCAAAAGAGTAATCAGCTTTTCTGTTAAGCTTTATTTTGCTAAATATTTTGTTTGAATTCTTAAGCCAATCTAAGGGCTTGTAATTTTTCTCTTTGCACATATTTTTTGCATGTAAGGTGTTTGGGTTTTTTTTAACCTACTAAACTGCTAAACCCTTACATTCCTCATTTGTAAACATCATTCATTGTTGTGGCTGTTCTTCTCTATTCCCTTGGAAAAGGGCTTTTACACTTCTTTTGAAAATAAGATATTGTAATAGGAATCAAAATTTCAGTATCAGTACAGCAGGCTAGGGCAAAATCCCCTTTATATTGATTCCCAGGCAATGTAATCTACAGCTGAGGATTGCAGAGGATTAATGTTACTGATAATTAACTCTTTCCTGACTTAAAGATAATTAAGACTCTTAATACTTATATTTAGGAAATACTCATTGCACATGAAAGAAGGGTATAGCTATTTTTTCTTACAAAGTCAACAAGAAAACTGTTAATTCCCACTGAATCCTTCATATACCATTGACCCACTCATAAAACTTGAAGGAGCCAATCATAAGTTTTAAGCCCAAAAAGAACGATCTTGGTATTTTATTCTTATGTCCTTTGCAGCAGGTGGAAGCAGCTCATGCGCTAAATTGAAACCGTTTGCTTAGGGATTACAAGGGTTCAGCTAATTCAGTTGTTTGCCCCCTGGCAGCCAAATCACAGAATCCTTTACAAAAAATACTGAGCCTACTGCTAAATTGATATAGACCTCTCTTCATACTAGTAAAGCCTTTTCAGCATCTGGCTGTTCTGATGGATTAAATTAGCAGAACTTACTGCCTGTATTTATTTCTGATTGGTTTATCATCTTTGATAGTTAATTGTGGTTTCTGGATCTTGGAGAAAAATGATGGTTTGGTTTTTTTTGTCACCTTTCATTCACCAAGTACTAGCTGAAATTATCTGATGTTCGCACCATGTCTAAATCATTGCTTTATATCCCTGTTCAGCTGTTGCATTTGGTTTTAGTACCCTTTGTCTGCAGAAGAAGCAGAGATGATCACTGCATGTTTTTGGCTTAGATCTAAACTGGTTTTCTTTCTTTTATTCAAGATACTACATTATTTATTTGAAATTATTATTCTAAAACAATGTTGGATATTATAGTACAGCATATAAACCCATCTTTTTTCTTTTTAAAAAGTTGCTGGAATGTGTGGATACCTGGCTGGAAAGATATCCTACTTGCCAATCTGTAGCGAGAAATTTAAGAAACTGAAGGATTCTCCAATAGGAGATGTTCTACGACAAGCTCAGAGACATAGTTCACCTAAGTAAGAATTTAAGTATATTTTAAATTTAATGCATATTCTGAATAGAGTATTTTAAACACTAACAGATCAATACTACTTTTGCAGCTTTCCAACACCTTCAGAGCTACACCTTCATTCCCCATTACCTCGAATCTACCACTTTCAGATGTCTGTATTTGTAACAGTTGGCAAGCTATGAAATATGTATTTTAAGCTCTTTACATACAGTAGATCACTTTGAGGAGTAGAAAAATAAATTTAGCAAACTGTATTCCTTGTAAACTTGAGAGTGTTTCCCATGGAATTTACTTAGAGAAGTGTGACAGCATAAGTTGCCTCTGTAGTTTAGAAGTAAACTAAATTAACCAAAATAAAATAGTGTTACATTCTCGAAGTTTTTCCCATAGTTTAGTTTGATTGAAGGAGGAAAAGGGTGGAAATGATTTCAGTGTTTATCAAAGGAAAGAGCTTAGTAAACAATATCAGTGCAGGAAGAAGCATGTTGGTCAAACTTACTGCTATTTGTTTAAATCCTTTACATCTGTAACAGCATTATGCTGTACATATGAGAAACTCATCAGGTTCTTAAAACTATTTCCTGTTTTCTTCCAGAATGTTTTCTACTTCAACTGGGTTTTATAATTGCAAGCTGCTTTCAGAATATGTCACTTAAACCCTTGATTCAAAACTGGGAGGATAGTGTTTGGATAGTGAGTAGTAGTCCTCCTGTGTATGTGCTGAGATTTGTTAAATGTTTATAAAGGATTTGCTTAAATTCTTAATTACTCTATAAATTCAGATTTATGACAGTTACTGTTTTGTCATAAGATAAGATTTACCTTTATTCTGAAATTTCTATGGTTTTATGACATCAAACAATTTCAGGCATTACCACTTCATACACTTATTGTATAGAATCAGTTGAATTGGAGTTGGACTTGTCCCTTCACCCCCCTCGTTTCTAATATGAAATCGTCATGCTCATTAATTGTGTTTACATGAGAACTTAAGTTTAAGTACCATCATCTGCCACACCATTAAGGTCCTTCTACTGTTAATGGCCCATTTGTATCTGTAAAGTTTTATTTCCTAAGTGATAAATTCCTTTTCCTTGGTTGAATAAATAAATTAATTTCAATTGCATTATTATCCATACACACTACCCTTTTAAGCCAGCAACAGAAATCATTACACTTTCCTGAGCATTGTATGTTTACTAATTCATGTATTTTGGTAATTTGATCTGCATTTAAAAACTTGTAGGGAATGAAAAGATTACGTAGTTTTTTTAAAGCTGTGTTTACATGTACTTTAAAAACATAATTAAGGCAATAAAGTGGCTTTGTTCTAGACGTTTATTATGAGAATTAAATAGAGACTAATTGCAAATGTTTTTCATAGGTAACTAAAAGTACAGCTAAAGCAAAAATTAAAAGTAAAAAATTAATAAATACTCTAGAGATATTCTAGTTGCATTCTAGTGGTGGCATTCCTGATAGAGGGACATGTTGTGTAGTGGCTTGCAAGGCCATTCTAAGAATATAAAGGAACACTTTAAAATATCTGGCACCAACTTCCAGAATATTCTTTATATTATATTACATTACCTTTCTCTTTAATTTTTTTTGCAGAATTCAGCAACTTGATTAATTTTCATAATTTAATTTTGCTAAGATAGCTGTTTGTTCTTCTTCTGTTCTTCAGTCCTGATCAATTACAGCACCTTCTAATGATGAAGGGCTTCAAGTATCAAATTCTTCCTAAAAGGCTTTTAAAATTCATTATAGTTCATACTGCCACTAGTTACATGGGCACACTGTATGCTATTTGTGTCTGATGTGGAGTGTTTTTATATGAAGATTCCTTGAGAAAAAGGATTGTAACTTCAGTTATTGTAAAATGAAATGTGTTTTGTCTCTTCTGTCCTGTTCTGGAGGTATGAGCTAAGATTCTGTGGGGAAAGGGCTACAGAAATTTTTTGCCATGTAAAGAAAACACACGAAACATCCCAAAAATTTTTAAGATTATGGTTCAGTTGGAAATTAAGCTATTTAAAATCAAAGAACGTTTTCTTGAATTGCAAGTATTGTTACTTTTAGAGTTCAATTTTAAATGTCAGTATTTTCCTATTTAATACTTAGTTCTATTATTTTCCAGCCGTTCCAATCGTAAATCTGAATTTTCAGACGTACCTTCTCAGTCATTTACTGAGTCATCTCCAAGAGCTGGATTTCCACCTTCTTCTAGCTATTCAGATGATTACAGCTCAACAGATAGAGCCCTCTCAAGTTATGAACCCATTCCATTCAGTGCTTCTCTGAATGAATCTTCACCTACAGGAATTACTGATTACACTGTTCAAGGTGAGTCTTAGTGTTTAACAGTTTGTACTGCAAGGACTCTTGCCTTTCTCTTAGATACTGCTCTTAGTAAACTGTGTATTCTCACCCTATGCAAACATACATGGCACAATATAGTGGTTTTGAATCAAAGAGCTGTGAAAGAATTGCAAGAATTGTTGGTAGACAGAAGATTAATATATGATTTGCAGTTCCTCAGCATTTTTTGTGTTCTCACTGTAAACTAGATTCAGGGTTTTCTAGCTGAAAATGGCTTTAATTGCAAGTAAAGATCCTGAATTAATTTAGAAGGTGCAATCTGTTGTGGAACTAAACCTGCAAAAAATTCACCCTGACTGAAAATTCTCTTTGACTTAAGGTAAGGGGACTATGCCATCCCTTCACTGAATAAACCACAGGCTACCAATTGCCTGCTGGCCCTTCCAAGGTGATTGCAGTTCCACCATCTGTGGGGCTGTAACTGCTGTAACTCCATGACATTAAACTTTTTATTAATTTTTTCACAAGGTGACAGACAAACATTTATGTCTCTTAGGAAGTAAATGGATAATTGTTCTATCCACCTACAGTCTGATTTTCTCACAGAGAACTAAAATGCCTTTCAAGTGAGATGCAGCTGTTCCCCTCCTTCCAGTATGAACTGTCCTCAGCTGTTGCAGGGTAAACACAGGATTCTGAATTCAAGGAGGAAGATACTGTCAAATGCAGGGTTTTGTACTTTGAATTAGTGTGGAGTTTTTCAACTTACTTATGAAAAATGTTTTATTTCACTAAAAAAGTCCTTTCATGCAACTTGGTTATAATTATATGAAAGTATCAGATATAAATGTGTCAAGAAAATTGTTTTGCATTTCATCACAAATATCAATAGTTGGTAAAACCTTTATTATATAACAAAGATTCTGCATTATAAATATAGATAAAAGGATCAAATGTTTATCAGGCATCATATGATAGATATTGTCCTAATCCTTTGAAAGCAAAATTTAAAGCCTTAGTGCAAACCCTTGAGCTTCACTTAAATTTCTCTTCAGAAATCATACATATGTCAAATGTGTAATTATCGTAAATGTTAGATAAAGTGACCAGAGCTATTTTATCCATCAGCTACCACATGGCTGTTAGAATTTCTTATGGTAAAATGAAGAAAATTAATTAACGACCAGTGTTTCAAAGAAGTTTGACAAAATTAAAAGGCTAAAAGGAATGGATTGCTTGAAGACCATATACATTCACTGTTGTATTTGTTGTATATTGCAGTTGTCATGCACCTTTTCATTTGGGATTGAGCAATAATTAACTGGTTTTCTAGAAGCCAAATTTTGGTGTATATTTAGTATTTTTCTGTTTATTTTGTTTCCAGAACCTGCTCCAGCTCCAGAAGAAGGTCGTAAAAAAAAAGGCATTACATATGAAGAATTAAGGAATAAACACAGACAGACATATGAAGTAATGCAACCACCAAAGCCAGAAACTCCAAGCAAGTTTTCACAGGAAAAACCAGCTAAGGAAGGTAATATACTGATTTACAGAAATACTTGCAAAATTCAGATATTTGCCATAATGTTAAAATGGCTGCAAACACAAAGCTTAATTCTGCATACCGTTTAAGCAATTTATATTTAGTGTATCTGTAGGTGTCTCATATGTGATAATACGGTTTGTAGTTTCCCGTTTCAGATTAATTATTTTTTCAAAAATTTTGATCATCCCATAGAAAATTGTAATTCATTTTCTCTAGCCATGTTGCTTGGTGCCAGACTGAAAAGCCCATAAGTTTTGCTCCATTGATTATATTGAGCAACCGCTTTCAACAAAGAATTCTCTGAGCTCAGAGCTATACCAAAGAGCTATGGGAGGGGGGCATGTGTTTTATATAGCATTGTTCTCTCAAAATAGAGCACATGGCTGATGGTTTGAAGGGAAGGGTATTTATTTTTATGAATAGTTTCATGTGGAATTGATGACTTTCTATAGAGGCATTGTTTGTAGAGGTTCATTTTCTACATTAAAACCCAGAGGAAGGAAATGGTATTTGGCAGCAATATCAAGATTTGTTTTCACAGTGAAAAAGAAAACTCTACAGAGCAAAATAAGAATGCAATATCCTGAAGAGCAAGATGCCATTCAGACAACTTTCTGACTCAGTCAATTTTTTGAAAAGGAGACACAGAAGCAATTCATAATTGCTTGCTTGAGAACTTTTTAAATTTAATGTGGCATCTGTAAAAACAACTGTAGTAAGAGGAAAGTTTTACCATTAAACACACTGATGAATTAGTCACCTTGAATTGTTTGGGTTTGTGTGCACTGCCCAGTCTTGTCAGCCATGTTGCAACAAGACTTCTAGGAACAGCTGTTGTCTCCTATTAGGCATAATGGGTGGTAATACATACAGAAAGCAAAAAGTTCTGAAGCAGTAACACTAAGCTCTGGAACAGTGGTACTTAAGAGTGTCAGTCTCTTTGATGCTTGTGAATTACTTTCTGCAGATCATGTATCTTTGGACAGATCTGGAGTTTTGAAAGAAAAATTATAAACCATTTTTATATAATGATTTTTAACTGTTATTTGAAGGATAAAAGGCTTTCTCTTATCATGTGATTGTGCCAAATGAGAAGACGTGAAAAAATTATTGAAGCTGTGGTTTCAGATTGCTTTTAAATTCCATTGGCTGACACTTCATGGATTTACACAATGTTTCTTTTTCAAGATATTTTTCCACAAACAGAATCCCTAGAAATGTCACTTGTGAACTATGCAAAGACATGTTAAGTAGCATTATGAGAACCTTGCCATATTCCATGGCACATGTGGCTGTGAAATAAGAATGTGCATTTCCTACTTTATTTTTAGTTACTTGAGGCATATAAAAGATCTCTATAAAATGTTGATCAAATATTGCATTCTTTGTATTATATTTATGGGTTCTGTGTTTGGGGGCTGTACTTGGGCTTTGAGAATAAACTGAGCAGTGTGTGAGATTTGTAAATAGACTTTTTAAAGTATCTCTTCGCATGTTTAGGAAAAAAGAGGAAGGAGGGCATACAAAAATTCGGGAGTGGTTTACACATGCAAATACATTTAAATTTGCAGTTCAGGGATTACACTGATGTTGTGGGCTGAGATCCAATTTAGCTTCTTGTGTCTCGTGTAACTGGACATGTTACTTGCTGTGTGCTTGTTCATACTTTTGGAGTCACCACCCCTCGCTTCGTCCTCTTATCTCTGAGCCCCTGGCAAATAGAAGACAGTGATTTCTGCCCTCCCTTGCAACGGCAGAAGGGAAACCAAACCGCATTTGAACCAGCTTTAAGCAATCCCTAACTTCCATCTGCCGGTGCCTTCTCCCTTCCCTGCAGCAGCACAAATACGTGCATCTGCATAGTGATCTAGACTGGCCCATTTTCCAGGGAATGAGTGCAGCCTGTTCAGCTGCCGTGGTTAATAGAAATGGAAATCAAATCCTACTTTGAGAGAGATTGTCATTGTGTCTCACAGCAATATCAGTCACTCCAAAGAGATTTATTTGTCAGGGCATTATGCTCAGTTTGCTGATAGCTCAGAGACAAGGACCAGGCGTTTTGCTCCATTCCACTTGTTCTGCTGCATAGTTAGTAATAAACATTGAGCTTAATTATTAACTTGCAAGTGAATTTATAGAGGGGTGCCTGACTAGTGTCAGCATTCCTACTGGATCAAATGGAGCCATTCTTAACCTTTTCAGTGCTGGCAGTCAATTACAGAGGACTTTGCAGTTCACTTTCAGGGGAGCCTGTTTTCACTTTCTGGTTGTTGTTCAGTTACAGTGGCACACTTCTGAACAAAGCCATTGGACCACTACCTTGGCTTTTTTCCTCTCTGACTCAATCCTATGCTAAAGGAAGCTGCCAAATAATAATGGCTGAGTAGTTTCCTAGTCAGGATTACTGATTTTTGTTTGTTTGTCTTTGAATGTGTTTTTAACTATCCCGAATACATCCAACTATGCATGTAACCAGATTATGTAGCCTCATTATTTATTGTAACATTCCTTGCCTGTTTCCTCCAATTGTCTTTATTTCATTCACGTGTTACATTTGTTTCAAAGTAATTACAAATTCTGTAGAGCAGCAATTAGCACAGTAGGCCTCCTGATTGAATATTAATTCATTAAGGTAAAATGATTAGCAAGCTCTTCTCCCCATTTATTCAAAAGTAGCTTTAATTACATGTCTGTTGTGCTGTGCCTGACTCTCTCTCCCCATGCACCACTACAGATGACAGTGTACTTCATTATACTTTTTGGCACTGTATATGATAAACTTTGGCAGTTGAACTATCACGACTACTTTTGTTTTTTCTTTTGTTTTCTTTAGTTAAAGTAAATAAATATGGAGATACCTGGGATGAGTAACAGTCAAATGAAGAACTGAAGAAAATCACCTCCCGTCAGCTAACTTGAACTTCATCTAGATTAGTAATTATATCAGCACCTTTGGTGTGCTTTGCCAGACACAACTATTAATAAATGAGGAGAAAATCCTGACTTTCCAGAAGATTATAAAAATGTATTTATGCTGAATTTTTTTTAATTTTGCATAAATGAAAAACAAGACTACCGTGAAGTGTCATGACTAAACCATTTGTGCTGTTGTTTAACAATGAGAAGGGTAACTGGTAATATGAACATATGGCATAAGGTAATAATACATGTAAATAAATGCAATACCATGTATTGAGAAGGGAAGAATATTGGAATCTTCTCAAATCTTCAAGACTTGCATTAAACGTTTCCTGTACAACTCAGCCTCTCACCTTGTTTTGTCTGAAAGTGATATGCTAGGAATTTAAAATTGTCATCAAACTTGGTTTGTAATGTCAGAAATACTACTAAACTGTTGAGAGGGAAAGGGCTGAAGAGCTGAGCCAGACACTGGAGTAACCATAACTTTTTCAAAACTGTTTCATGGTGCCAGCTGTATTTTTAGGCTGATACTCTGACTTGCTCACAACAGGTTTCTACAGATAGTCATTTCTGAAGAAAATAATTGAACGAAACTGCACTTATTGAAAATAGCTACATTTAAGCGCAGAAGGCTAAACCTGACAAACTTTGGTAAAACCTTGAATGATAAATTGACTGTTAATGTTAGGCTCTGTATATTTGACCTTATTTCTCAATTTTTGCAAGCCATGAAAAAACCACCATGTTTATGGAGAAGACATCACAATCAGTAGAATATTTTGTTATTATTACCTGTAAGAAAAGAGCTACACTGGCAAACCTGAAGAGGATTTTCCTGGTGTTTGCATCTCCTGCTCTGTCTCTGAACATATTGCCTTCACTTAGGGATTTTCATGTTCTTGCCTGTGCACTTTCATCTCCCAGCATTGTGTTTATTTGGGCATTTGGGCTATAAGGGATCAAAAACCATGATGAAGTTGATAGCATAAAAGCATTCCTGACATCCTTCTTGGAGCTGAAAAATAACACACCTACCAAGTTGAAAATTCTCAAAGACCTTACTGATTTAGTGGACTTGCAGCAGAACAGCATAAATAAGAAGGTAACTGGGGGAGTTGTACAGAGCAAGTGGCAGAAACGAGGAGGAAAAAGTGGGGAAGAGGAGGATGCTTAAAGAGCCAATACTACTTAAAATAAAACAGGAAGATTTCTTTCAGAAAAGCTCACCTTCTAAAAAAATTAATGTGCAAGTTGGATAATCTTGACATGGTATCACAAATTTACCTTGTAGAGTGCTTCTCATGGCTGTTACGAATGAACTCTGACAATACAGTCTGCCAGAATTGCATTGCTGTGGTTTTCAGTGTGCTATTCCAAAGCTGATTAGCTTTATCATTAAAATATTCACAGAGTTTCTTAGTTGTCAGTTATGCGAGTAATAGGAGGCAGAAAATTGAGGTGGTAATAATAGAGCAGATTTTTACGATGGTGCCTTCCTGCAAAGTGTCTTGCCTCACATTTATATTTTTGAGTGGACAAGCACAGTGTTTTATATAAATTGTATCAGAATTTTTCTTCCTTTCTTAGACGAGAAAAGGCATGTCAATTAATGTTCTGTATTGACAGCATTTTGAGTATAAAGCTTTTATTCTGTTGCATTTAGTTACACTCGGAGGACATACTTTCTTTTGTACTTGAACAAGCTTGTTTTCCTGTCAATCAATTTAAAATTCTTTTGATTTCACACCCTTAGTACACGTTAAATACAGGAGAGTTCACAATCATAGCTGTTAATTTAGTAGGGTATTGGGATCTGATGTTTCATCAAAGTTGGCTCCCATTCAGTTTGCTGTGACAATGTGTATGTGTTGAGCCCCTGATTTACTAAACAGCCATGGGAATTCAATCTTCCTTCCCTTTCCCTACCTCCCTTCCATTAGTACCTCCTTGTGGGCCTTTACACTCGTGGTTTCATAGCAGCTACCCAATCACCCACTAATAACTTGCTCATAATGCACTTCCATGACTTTTGGGAATTTTTAACTGAAGCCAAGTGTCTTGGAGCTGACGGCAGGGTTCCTGTTGCTGGGAGCAATGTGACTAGATGTATAGAACAATGGTGTTTAAAAATAATTAATTTTTTCCTATGGTCCATCATACCTGTATATTTTTCAATAATTGAAAAATTAACTCAATGTTTATTGTACAGTTAGGTAAATTTTCTTTTTCAAATTAACATTTAAAAAGTAACTTTTTATACCTTAAATCAAGCACAAGTAAAGGAGTCTGAATGCTTCACTATGAAAGTTTCAAAGAAACCCTATAAAATAATTGTTTTCACAGTTTCTTAAAACTTAAAAATAAGCAGACCAGTTTAAATTAGTTGGTAGCATTAGCCCCAAGTTTCTTGTTGAACAGAAAGAAGAGGGTTGCAAAAATGTGCCTTAGCTCTTTTCTAGCTGGTAAAGCTACCAAAAATCCTGGTCCTGAATGTTTCTGTGTTTCCCCAAACAGTAGGCATGTTTAAAGCCCCAAGTAGGTACTAATCTGACCTTTGCAGGGCTTTTTCCCTACTGATGTTTGAAATACAGCTACATGGAAGAGAAAAGTGATTTGATTTGCTTAATGAAAGCTAAGCAGATTTGCAGAAACCTGGGGAAATCATCAATATTCCAGATTGAACCCATAATTTTCTTGCCTCCTTGAGATTCAAGAAGAAATTCTCACTTGTCCAGTTTGCTGGAAGTTGAAAGACCTATTTGTTCTCCTCATGGGGGACTCTGTGGCTCTGAGTGAGGACCTTGCCCAGTTGCAGGAGGCATGTCCAGCTCAGTTCCTTGGCTCCCATAAATACACCAGACCTGCCAGAAGAAGGCTTTGCTTGCAGCCCAATCTTCCTGACTCGCAACCAGAATAAGTTCTCTGTAATCTCTTTCATGAAGCAGGGGATCTAAAATAGAAATCCACAAATCCTTGGATTTTAATCTCAAGGCAGCAACTGGGGCAATTTGCATCTCGTTACCACTTCAGACCCTTGCCCTGGGTTTGTGCTAGTTCAGCACAGCCAGTGCAGGCCTGGACATGCATATGCCTCGAGTTTATACTTTCAGAACTAAAAAGCAAGAGCCTGCTATGAGCTGCTTTCACAATGGGATGCTGCAGCAAGCAAACAAAGGATATATGGTAAAGAGGCTGCGCAATCATCTGATACAATGGATATTCAATCAAACAGAATATTCACTTATCCTTGAAAGGAGAAAAAAAATCTTAACACGAAGGAGAAATGGAGAGTTAGATTTCCTTTGCCAAAATTTGAAGTAACTTATTCATGATTAAAAATTCATAGTGTATAACCTTTGTGTTGCTGTTTTTCCAGTTGTTCACTGATGACATAGGACTCCATTTCCAGGATATGAGATCTCGCATGAACAGCTTCTAAACCCTGAAATTTTTAATTTATTCCTTACACAGAATGATACACATTCTTTTCTACTTCTATTAACCCACAGTGGAAGCACATTTCTAGTGCATTAGATTTTTATTTTAGTTATGAAGCTAAAGTTAGTTTCTATATAAATCTAATGCCAAAATAAATTATTTTGTTTGGCTTAATTTTGTACTTTGAATACAATTGTACTTCGAATACAATTGTTAATCTTAACTATTTTAGGATAACTAGCATTTTTAAACAGTGCAACTGATACAGTTAAGGGTGAATTTGGTTGCAGTAGCTGATCCCTAAACATTAATGGTGGATAATTAACAATGTCAAAATAATTTTAGCTATTGTAAGTAGAAAACGTTTCTCCTGGTACAGTGCCGTGGAGTCAGTGCATATGGCTGTGTGTTTCACAGAAGAGTGAAGGGTTTTTTAGGGTCCCCTGAAGATTTTATGTCAGACTGCATGCATTTTTCCTCACTGCCCCTGCACATATCAGAGAACGCGCAGCTCTCAGCCTGCTCGGAGGCTGCATGGCCGGGAGCCATGGGCGAGCGGGAGCCCTGCGGGCTGCGCCGGGAGGAGCGGAGCGGCACGGCACGGCACGGAACGGCACGGACCGGCACGGAACGGCACGGACCGGCACGGCACGGAACGGCACGGACCGGCACGGCACGGAACGGCACGGAACGGCACGGACCGGGGGAAGCCGGGCTGCTGGAGCTGCTCCGATCTGCGGCGGCCGGCGGCCACAGCCGCCAGCTGTGCAGCTGAGACACGAGCAGGCTCCGTGCCTGGCACGGATCCGCGGAGCTAAGCAGCAGAATGGGAGTGAGTAACTGGCAAGCGTTTGCTGCTGGGAAGGGTTTCCTGTATTACAGATGTGACAGTGCAGAAGGAAGAACGCTTGGGCACGTCCAGCCCAGCCCCGGCAGACCTCACCCTCCTGAGGTCTGAGCCAAGGTTTAAAATGTGTCTCTGGGACGAAGTATTAAAGATCTCTTGCTCTGAAATACCTGAGCTTGCTGATGTGCCTGAACACAAGCTACAGAAAGCTCTCAGTAAGAAGAAACATTTAAAAATTTTGGTAAGTGGGTTTTTTCTATACCAGAAGTTGGAAGCACCACTGCTCTCAAACAATCTGAGTGCCAAAGAAAATGGGAAAAACATCCATTAGCCCCCTTAGTTCTTTTTCACCCTTCATCTGCAGAGGAAGTCACTATACTGTAATAAAAATAAAGGTGTGTTTTCTCAGGAATTGTGCATCTTGTCCTTTCTACACATGAAGATGCTTCTGTCTCCACTTCTAGATACGGCCTACCTGAGGTTTAGTTCGACAATGCTCTTAACTTGGTTTTTCAATAGCTGCAAGAATACAAGAATTGCCATGATGGTCACCCTGTCTCCCACACTGGCTAGTGATCCTTCTAGAAGAATCTTCTAGATCTTCACTGGTGCCCACTCCTGTCCTTCATTGATCATAGCTGCACAATTCCCTGACACAAAGGCTGCATTTGGATATGCAAATGAAGGTGTTTTGTAGCCAAATCTCTGTGTAGGTCATGTCTCTTGAAGCCGTTTTCTGTGATTCTATCAGACCCTGTGGCAAAATGGAATTGTGCTGTGTAAAGAAGAGTTTCTTTTCTGTTTGGTTTAAATCTCATTTCACTGAGTGCTGATGAGTTTTGATTCTACAAAACCAGCAATTATTTGCTCCCTATTCATCTTTCACTCTTTTAGACATGGTATTCCTCACCTGGAGATGTTTTCAGCCTGGAAAGCGAGTTACATAATCTCTTGTGATGAAATCACTTTGTATTTCTGATCATTCTTTTTTACTTTAATTTTTATTTCTCCTGTTTCTGTCTCTGTGTTGTACAGGTTCTGAGATGCATTGGAAGCACCATAATATTCAAAATGAGGGCACGCCATAGAAGTGCTCTGTAGTCTAAATCTATTTTTTTGCTGGGAATTGTTAATGTTCTACTTGCCTTTTGGCTGTCAGAGACCACTGATCCTATGTAGTCTTGTAACTACTCAAAATGACTGCCAGGTCCCTGTACTGAAAAAGTCAGAGTAATTTAAAACCAATTGTGTGATGCAGTTAATATTTTTCTGCATTACTATGAAGCTTATTAGTCAGCCTCTAACATGAAGATTTTTTTCCTAGGTCTATAATTTCATCATCAAGAAATACATGTGTTTTCCTTTGGCAGAGTATCCGTTAAAATGTTGACCAGATGCCCCCAACACATCCCCAAATGCCTTCTGAGGCATTCTATATTTTAAAAGGCGTTGAGAAGTCTCATTTATTTCCTGGAGAACCTTATTTTTTTTGAGGGATTTACTAGGAAAATGAACAAACAAACAAAACAAATAACTCTCCATACTCATACAATGTAAAAATTCTTAGTATTTCAAGGATGTGGAACTACTGCAATAGAAGTTGTCCTCTCAAATGGGTTTTTTGTGTGTGATGCCAAAAACAAGTTGGGTGAGTGGGACAAATTACCAGCAGCTCTTCCACTGGTAGAAATGGACATGAGGAAAGGGCTGCTGCTCCCAAGTTAGTGTTGCTGCCACTCTGTATTTCCCACAGAGCCTGGTCCAGCATGCTCCTGTTGTAAATCCTGCCCCAGAACCTACTCTCTTCTTACCAGTTCACTCCAGAGCTCTCCCCCTTCTATTACCTGTTGTTGCATAGCATGCCCTATTCACTCATTCTTCTCTAAAAATACAATAAAATAAGAAAATCTTGTTTCTGGTGGGATTTATGAAAACCTGGATAGTGAGCTTTCATGTCCCTTTCATTCCCAGATATAGAATTATAGACAGCTGGCTTCCCTAGAGTCCACCTACTAAGGATTTAAACAGGAATGTGCTGTTTTCAACCTACAATTGCTTTCTCTTCTAAAACCCCTTTTTTAAAATTTGGAGCAGATACCATATTTGTAAAACGAATGCCAACAGCTAATATAAAAATCCACAAAGATAAGCAGTCTTTGCAGTTGTTTGAGGATAATGTCACTGTAGTTTTCCTCTTGCACCCTTTTTCTAGCCATAATTTCGTAAGTGCACAGAGGCTTATACACAGCTATCCACTCTGTATGTATCACAGCTGAAGGAGGTATTTTGTTTCCTGATTTTAACAACTACGTGGACTTCACCTAAGCTGTGATATGCCTAAGCACACAGTTCAACTCCCTTGTCTCTGAGTGAAGAAAAGTTCAACTTTCCAGATTCAAATGACTCACAGGAAGCTGTGTAAGTTCATTGGATTTTTTGGCCTTTTTATAACATCTTCTGTCAAGTGGGGGATGTGAAGCCTGTTATCAGTGTAAGAAAACACTAAGAAAAGTTTCGTTTACCTTTGCAAGGTCAAATGCTTTCCCTCCTAGAGACCTCTTCCTCTCTTATTAAAGAAGAAACTGATTACTTCAAATCTTTCCCTATTTTTTTCACCCCTAAATTCAATGTATTCACCTTCTGCTTCAATTAAACATAAATTTAACCTGCTTGTATGGAATGCACAATAGCAATGGCAATGGCTAAACAAAGATTAGCTCATTCCACTGCACATAATTACTAAAAACCAGCTGCTTTTAACGACTTTTGAAAGAAGAGTTTGCCCATTAGCTGTGCTCATTTTTCCTTTGATATGCATAAATTTAGTGCTAATACATCTTATTCACAAATTTCCTTTTTTCATACCTGTGTCGCAATAACTCATGAACTGGGATCAACACAATTAGGTATTCAGCCTTTTGCAAAGTATGGAAACAAAGTTAGAAAAAAAGGAGACAAGAAATTTTATACATCAGTATATTTATTACAGAAAAATAATCAAAAGTAAAAAATACAAAAATTACATGTAAAAAATACAAAATTACATGTAAAGCAATGTCCAGCAGCTAAGTTGTAATCCCAAGAGGTAACACTGACCACAAGAACAGCCTCGAAGTCTAACATGCAAGGTCTGTCACAGGCATTGCCCTCCTTGACGTCACCTGGATGTAATGGCTTCCCTCAGATAATCCAGGCACGACTAACCCTGGTGCAGCTTCTGGCTGTTATCCTGACAGCAGATGACAGATGAAGGGGAAGTAGCTCAGACATGTTACCATACAAGTTTTGGTGGCTATCACAGCACACCCATGACAACACATGATTTTCACAAAGGAGGTTGCCTTCTCAGTGGTTGTGTAAGCCCTTCTCCCTGGAGGCCCCGTGGAAGGCTCTCCAAGGCTCACCTGCCTGTACACAGCAGCAGCTGTGACACAGCACTGCTGTGTATCCCTGACTGCCATTGAAAACACTGCAAAAATACCATATAAAACTAACAAGTGTAAAATTGAAGCCCTCTTGAGACTGGGGTTCTTAGTAGCTGAAGAATTCAAGAGGCTAAACACCAAGTAGAAAAGTATAAAATCTTATAGTAAAAAAAAGAACAGGGAGGCCAGTCAGTCTAATCCTTCCCCTTTTGCCTGGTGGCTTGAAAGCCCTCTTGCTTGACTAGGAAAGGCTATCCAAGTGCTTTATTAGGAAGTTGAGTATTCAGTCTAATCACTTTGTCAAATCCAGAATCTCTTTTCTGTTCACTAACCAATTAATAGTTACATTATACTTTTCCACGCTATATATTTTGCTTGCAGAATTTCTTTGTGTCGAAGTAAAGATGCCCACAGAAGCTAGTTCAAAAGAGGAGCACTAACCACAGGCATCATATACAAGCAAACAGAAAAAGCCCACAGAAGACAGTCTTCATCGACAGCGAAGCCCAAACTTTCAGTAGCTGCATTTCTTTCCATATGAAAGCCATCACTGTGTTTAGGGGAAGTGCCTCCTTTTGATTTGCTGAGATGTTTCATGGAAGACTGTGTGTCCTGCTGTTTGTAGAGATCATGTGCCATCTAGATCTGGGGTTTTCTCAGCATCTGGTGGCCTCAGATTTTATGCAACCATAAATTGTTCCAAAATATTGTGTGTTCTTGTTCATGATTTTGGTACCCCTGGCAAAGCGGCCCTTTGTGTAAAACTGGCTTATGGGAAGTTGGTTCAGCACAGTAACTGCAGTCTGACAATACCCTGAATTTGGTACTCTTAAAGTACTCCATAACCAAGGGGTCAGCTCAGAGACTGGATAGCTGCTTCATTGTGCAAACCATTTAAACATCCTCACACCTTTTCTGTTTGACAGAGACGAACATTCCAACATAAACCACTTTGTCTGTTACACAAAGCATTGCTAGCATCTAAATACAACAGACAAATGTAATTTATCAGCACTAAGAGCTAAATTGCATTAAAGAGAGGTAAATAAACCAGTATGTGCTGGAAAGAGAGGAGTGTATTTCAAAAAGTGCATTTCAAAACACTGGTATTTTGTACAAACAGAACTTTGTAACAATATGCAACTATTTCAAATAAGTCAATTTATACCAAATCTAAGAGACAGAATCACAAAATTATTATTTCTAGGCTACAGGAAAGTGCCTTGAAAGAAGATGGTCCATAAAGTTTTAATCATGTTCACCACTTCTGTAAACAGAATAAAATGACCTGTTATTTACATGAGTGCCACCTTGCTCTCAATGTGAAATGTAGAGCTTCTTGGGGATTTCTCTGAGAACATTCCAGAGCCCCTGAGGATAAAATACATTACCTTTGGACTCCTAAACATGAATACAATTTTATCTGAGTGGTCTTCCCAGGTACTACTAGTGCTTGCACCATATGCTTCGCATGGATAGTAGCAAAATGTGCTCAGCAGGGGCTCTGCATATTTTCAGAGCACAGCATGCTAAATTAAGAATTTTTATTGAAACACAGAAGAGGTTTAACAACAGAGAAAACAACATAATGCTTACAGTACTTCTTTTCCTAAGTTTTTAAAACCTGTCCATCAAAATACTACACTGGTCCAAATGTAATGGCTTTTTCATTACATCAATTAAAGCTTGAAAGAAATACACCTACATCAGTTTTCATACTGATTTTCTGACTAAGCTTTCAAGCCCTTTTAAAAACCAGACAAGATCTAAGCTGCTGGCAAAATGTGGAGCAATCAAGGTCTTTGATGAACATGTGAGCTGGAGCAGGGAACAAGCTCCACAGCAGAAATTTCAGGACCCATTACAGGAAGAAAACAAGGAGAGAGGCCTGTGGTATCCTGTGTTCTTCCCCTCAAAAAGCTGCAAGTCTCCTTTGTATTTCAGAACATTTGAAATTTATCTAAAAGCTAATTGGTATTCGCACACCAGAAAAAATATTGTCAGCTCACAGAGAAAGGCTGAAAAATAAAATGTGTTCGGATTGAAAGTTCAGCAAGCGGCAGCTCTGACAAACAGCAGAGATAAATTCCATAATAAATATTTGATTCCTCTACACAGGTAATTGCTAGTAAATGACCATTCTCAAATATGCTTTGGAGTCCTTATTTGAAATAAGTGAGCCTATGTAAGCATTTATTTAAGACAAAATCTTCAAAAGCAGTTAATCAACAAAGTATTGCAAGAGGTTAATTAAGCTCATAGGTGCTAATGGATTTAGAGTCTTATTTATTCAGAGTTATCTAAGTCTGGCTCACTCCCTCCTTCATACTGGCACTAGCAAGAAACCCTCCAGAAAGTTTTGGGGGAATTTTTTTATCCCTGTCCTCATACCAAATTAGAGCAGAGAGCTGGCCTGGAGGGCCAGGTCACTTCATGATCCGTATAGCTGGCACAAGAGAAGCACTGCTTCTTTTGGCACAACCCTATTAGGTGAGCCTAAGCCAAAGTGCATTTTCTGCTAGTGGATGAGCATTTGCAACATTTGATATAAAATGCTGAACCAGTGGCAAAGCTGATTAAAATCAGGACTTTATTCTAATGGCTGCTTCATGGACTCAGAAAACTCATTGCCACAATGTATTGTTGCATATTAAAAGTCCATCAAAATCTCTCTTCTAGGCAAGTAAACAGCTTCTGTAGGATATTCCTCCTTACAGACTGTCTGTGGGCATGCTCTTTGGAATAAGAAAGGGACCATTACCAATATCCTTGTCTAAATTTTTACCTTATATATGCTAAACTCAATCCAACAATTTCTGTGTCAGACTTCTGTTCTTAGCTGTACAAGCTCCAATGGCAGGGTTTCAAACAGGCCCTCTGCTCTTCTCTCTTGCAGTCAGCCAAGCTATTTGCAAACACTTTCACACATTCTCCCGCCTGTGAGAAATGTAGGCCAGTTTACCACAAGCAGACAGTGTGAAACATTCTTAAAAAACCCAGCTGCTGGCCTGTTTTTCATAGCGTGCAAGTCCTTTTAAACACTTGCCTACCTTCTACCCTGTAAAACCTCCTTTTCCACAGAGGGAACTTCCCCCTTTCTAGGGTGAGAACACCACATGAACCATGTTCCCTGCCCCACCACAGCAGACTGCTGTTGCACCACTATTACAATACCCCACTAAGGCCCTAGCCAAATTGTAGGACTGAATGCAAAAGACCCACACCCAGCCGTGTCTGCTTTTAGTTCTGAATATTTCAATGCGTTTTTAAATATCAACAAAATCCATAATTATTTGATTCTTAAGTAAAACAAGCTAGAAATTGAAAGGAGTTGTATTTGTTTTAATACAGTCAATCCAAATTAATTCCACTTAAGTTAATCATCAATACTCAACTACAGTTAAAGAAAAAATTCCTCAGAGATGGGAGATTTCAAATTAGCATGAACGATAAAGATATGTAAGGTAAAAATTAAGAAACAAAATTAATCAGGAATTACAAATACAGAATATCTCCTTGAGTAATGCTTGGACTTTGATCCATTGTTAAAATCTGTGATTTGCACTATATTGTTCAAAAGAAGAATACCATTCACCATGGAAAAAAACATGATTTTTTTTTTTTTTAATTACAAGGTTGCTTACCTGGCACTAAGTTGCTGAAGACTTGAACCTTCTCTCTCATTTGATCCCAATTTTGCTTTGCATTCTTTGCAAGTATGATGACACTTCCTACAATATTGAAAGCAAATAACACATTGTAGAATTTTGCTGGATTTTTTCTAATACAACCATAAAGCTTGATGACAAAAGTTCTTGAAGAAGTAGTCTCTTGCCGATATTCTCCAATTTTGTAATATGGGAAATAAACTGCAAAATATGACATCTAAATGTCTCAGCCAATAAGTGCCCATTAATTAATATTAAGTACTCCTTCTAGCAATTGCCAATATAAAACAGGATTTTCTAAGCAGCAAAAGACAGTCCTTGCCATTGTACCTATGAGCAAACCAAGCTAGGAGTAAGGTGTATAACATTTTGTGCAATACCAAGTACATACTTTGTTATGTGGGGGAAGAATACAAGTAGAGAAATAGATGAACCATGAAGAAACTTCCCATTATCAGTCAGGTACTTTTATTGGCGTAAAATGGTCTCATGCTGGTCTCAGGGAAAGATGTGGAAAGACAAAGGAGAATGATTTTTTTTGATAGGATTTTTGGAAATGTGTTCTGTGAGCGAAAGTTTTATACCAAATGTGATATTGAGAATGGAGAGCATAACAGGCAGCTGAAGGAGGAGCTGGGAAGGAAGTCAGAGTCTGATTTGATGTGAAGGAGTACTTTATGTGAAGTTGAGAAAACAATCAATAAAACATGGAGGCACCAGGTGACAGAAGTCAACCACTGAGCTTTATTCTATGGTTAGAAGTGCAAGGTGGAAAAAGCACCCCCTCAGTTTGTGCTCTTCATGGTTTGGCATGACAGCATGAGGCTGGGCAAAGCCATAGATGAGAGGAAGGCTTGGAATATTGGCTGAGATTGACATTGTTGTTAAAATATGAGAACATTATAAAAAAATATGTAGCATATTTGGCCTGAGGTATGTTCCAAAGGAAGACTTAAAGGATCAAAGTGATAACATGGACAATCTTAGCAGTATGATACTAGATGAAAAGAGAATGAGTCACATCACAGCTAAAAGTACAATAATTTCATTTAAATAATGGATATCCTAGTAACAGGTATTACAATGAGTTTAATTTGTATTTTCTGAAGAATGTGTAATAGTTTCTAATACTGCAATATAGTCCAAGACTATAACTAGTACTTCAGGATCTAATCACAGAATTTAAATTCATAGTTTTGTTGCATATAATTTTTAGTGTGTTTTAGACTATTTTGATCTAGGCTTAATAATTTAAATCAGCACAGACCTTTTTTGTTGTGGACCAAATGGTGCAATACCAATTTTCTGAAACTTTTTCTGGCATTCTCCTATGTATAACATTCTTCCAATGGCAAAACCCAAGACACCGGCAACTATAGAGACAGATAACAAAACATTGTTAGTACAACAGCTAAAATCAGGAGTGTGCTATAAGATCCACTTTAATAATATAACAAATTCTGTACCACATCTTCTCAGAACATGTTACAAACACATTTGAAGTTATACAGGGTTTACAAGGGCGAATTCATTAACTACTGAAAACTGGTTACCTATCATGAGAGAGAACAACTGGTCCAAAATAATTGATACAGAAAAAGGATAAAATATTCCTGCATACAGGAAAAGAAGATCATATTTAAAGGACCAGATAATAAAAAATAAAATAAATTCACAATGTCAGCACTAATAGTTCTTGCCTTTGATTGCACACCATGGTTTACTTCTAATGATCACACTTTTAACACCAACTTCTCTGGCCTTCCAAGAAGCTAGAACATCAGCCTGCCATACTCTTGCACTATGGCTTTCACTCCGTAGAATCAGAATAAAAGACTACTTCAATGTCCTTGATTTCCTGGTGAATTTCTGCTGGAGAGGGAATCTATTTAAATTCTTGTCATTTACGAGCCACCTAACTGTACAGTACAGTTTCTGTGCTTCTACTGTTTTCTTTATCAATCCATGGTTCTGAATTAGACAGTTGAGATCAATCAAGCAAACACAAGAAAAGGACCATACTATTTTATATATTATAGTATTGTGACATTGTGATATCACAAATTGTGCAATCTGCCAAGCACAGCTGATCAATGAGCTGACATAATTTATAAAACAAAGTGGAGACTACTTTATACCAATATGAAAGACTGCATTACATAAATATAAGCTGCTACTGAAAATATTTACATTAGAAAAATCTAGTTTCATACATTTATTCTTAAACACATCAGAAATCTGATTTTCTAATCTGCTGGGTTAACATAGAAATTGCAAAAAAAGAAGATTTTGGAATTTTTTCTTTTAGATCGGGCACAGCTTACTTGCCATCTTGGGGTATGGACCAAATCTTAGGCTTGCTGAGAAAATGCCTACAATAAAAGGAAATAGTCAGAAAGCATATTCACTTGAGAAACTCACCAGCACTCAAAACCAGCACTAATTTTCCTACAGATTTTGCATTTCTTAAGGTAAGGTGAGGATGGTATGAAGTCCACTAACTCAGATTTCAGTACATCAGGGCAGTTTCTATTCCACTAGTTCTTAGTGCATGTGTTTTGGAGCAGTCCTAGAGTCATAGGAGGAAGAGAATCTGGATTTTGCAGGATTCAGCTCAGGCAGGAGTTCAGAGTGTAAGCCAACATGAAAGCAGCACATCAGCCACTGGTGACACCTGCAGCACTGCAGAGGAAGTGATAGTGGCTTATGTTTCAGCAAAACCAACCCTGCACATAAAAGAGCAAAATTAAATCTCTTACACAGGGTCCAGCTCCTTGTGCTGTGATAAGTAGGATGAAACTGCTCTTTGGTAGCTTTCTGTCGCTATCAATTAAAACTGTACCACTTGTATCTAGCCCTCTCCTCTGGAGAGGAAAGATCACACATTTTGGCCTTTAAGAGGAGAGCACAGTGTGCTAAACAAGAAAAACAAAAAATTATCTTTAGCTTTTCCACCAAAATCCACATTCCCCCAGTTAATCTCAGGAGGTGAAAACAGTATTCCTCTGAGAACTCTGTGTCTGCCAGAGGAATGCCATGCTGTGGAGGAGGGTTCCACACAGCAAGATTACAGAGGCAAAGGGAAGGAAAGTAAACACTGGTTGCACTGTTACATGCATTCAGACAGTAATAATGAGGCTTAGAAGCTCCAGCATCTTCTAGAGGCAGGGTACTGTGTGCAGCCATCAGAAGAAAGTATTTAGACAGAGAAGTATTCAGCCTATGCTAAGCACAAGGGCCTTTGCCCACTGTGATCTATGCAATTTTATACTGGGTCTCTCTAGGGAGGGAGGAACAAAATGTTGTTTGTTTCTAATCACCCCCCTCCAACTGTTGACACACAGTAATGATTATTTACTAAGTGCATTTGCTATTTCACAGCTGATCAGAAACATCCAAGTACAATGAACAGAAACTGAGAAGAGTACCTGGTGCTAGAGGCTGGCATGTTAGCTACAGAGACAGCCCAGGTGCCCTTCCTATTACTGCTCATCCTTTTTCCAATGTGTAATCCTTCTCTGATGCACTCTTACTCCTTCCCTCCCTGTCTCCCTACAAGCACATAGATCAAGGATGCAGTAGGGATCAGCCTCTTGGGATATAGCTCAGCAGACTTCAGGGTGCATGCCCCTCACTCTCTCCCCACAACACCAACATCAACCTTATACACAGTCAAGGTCCCCAGCAGGGGAACTGAAGGCGCCAGGCATAGAACCAGGCTCATCCACCACATAAACAGAACACAATTTTCTTTTGTGTTAGCCTGCAGATCGTGAGCCATGTCTACAGAAAGCTCTCTGTCTCCTCACTTTGGCAGTACTCCTTGTCCCTTTGCACCAAAGCTGTAGTCATATTGACACATGGCCACTGGCAAAACATTGCCAGCATTTGCAAACAGAACAACAGTTAGAGCTCCAGTACCCGATTCTAACGCCCCTGCTCGGGCTGTACAATGCTCTGCCCCGCGAGCTGCCCCAGCGAAGACTGCTCAACTACATGTGAGCATGGTGACAAAATCCAGCCACCAGTCTTTGGATTTGCAAATTCTCTTTTCAGTTCATGTTCTTGCAAAAGAACGATTGGGGAAATGCACACATAATAATCAAATCACTATAGCAATGACAGTAATGAGTGAGAAGAATATTGATCTTGAAAAACAGGACTTTAATGATGTATTTTTTTATCTTTACCTTTTGAGATTAGCCCCTGGGTGACAAGTATGCTCCCAAGAGATAAAGGAAGAGCTGTAAAAAGAGAGTAGCTGCTATCAGCCAAAATTTGCTACGTATTTGGTAAATACTCTCTTACACATTAAATGTTTTCTGTTTCTAATGTTAAACACATTATTTCTAAACATTCATTTTGCCTACTGTCTTAATAATCTATTACATCTGCTCCTTCAGATTGCATTCTCTTAAAAGTCAAGATATCCTTACAGCGCCGGACATCAGCCATGCTGTAACATCTGGAGCTAATGCAATGTATATATATTTATTAAATAATAGTTTCCTCACTCTTAATATCTCCTCTAACTACTGCAACACTTTTTATGACAGCAGCTCCAATAAAATGCTTAAACCCTTTTCAATCTTCTCCATTCAGGAAATACATAATTCAGACACAAACTGAGAGGGTGGAAGTAAAGGCACTACAGCACCAAGCACTGATCTTTTTAGCTGTCCTAACATACTTAGAATTTCACAAATCAAAGACACATGCCAGCCTTCCATTCAAAGGCAAGGATAAGTATGTAACAAAGTAAAACATTCCTAAGGTGGTTATTATAATGGACTTCAAGAATAGAACCAACTCTCCAACTGCTGAAGTTCATATTAAACAAGACCTCAATCCAACCACCTTTACCTACAACAATTATGCCAATAATTCAATTAAACCTTTAAGAATACAACGCTTAACTTAATATGACAGATTTAACCCACAGCAGTGTTGCAACAAAAAAGCATTTTGCAGACAGTTTTGCAAATATACATCAAGAAGTCATTCTTGATGTGTGATAAGTGTGGTAAGAATGACTTTGGATCACTCTCCTCTGTACCAGAAACTTTCCTGTTTGCATTCTTTAATGATCCTTGCAATCTCTCTGTCTTGAATTTGGGACATGGGACAAAATAACATTGGCTGAAAGCATAAACCTGGATTAGTTTCCCGAATTTAATTGCACAGGAAGAAAAAAAATTAATCAATTAAAGAAGATAAATTATTTAAAAAACAAATAAAATACAAAAACCTTCAAGCAAAACTCCTTATTCTGTTGCTAGCAGTGTGATGAAATCTTGATACACCAATACAGAACAAACTACATAGGTTTTAAGTTTAAAGAACTTATCTTGTTGATCTTTACTTTCCTAAAATTGCTCAGCTGCTATTTACCCCGGAAGCATATTCTTTTATATCTGTTAGTCATTTCATTCTCATGATCTACATTATGTCTCCCAGGAAGAAATGACAGGAAATAAAGGCAGAGTGGCAGTTTTCAAAAATCAAGTTCTGCTCTGTAAAGAAGTCAACTGAAGTTCAATAAAAGCAGACTTTGGAAGTATTTAGAAGAAGGTCAGCATAAACTTGACTAGACTCCCCACTAGTAGAACTTTCTCTCTGAGCAATTTAAATATATCCATGGCATTAACTGAACTCAACCATACTGGCTTCACCCTAGTACAAATCAGGCTGCCAACAGACTTCTTGAAGGTAGCTCTTTTTTCACTCATTGTGATTGTGAGGAAAAAGTGACAGTGTTCTCCCTTGCATTCTACTATCCAGGGTATTGACATGTAAACATATGAGGATTATTTTTCTTTCTTTAAGAAAAGACTCAGTGTTAGCATTTGAAGTGTTGTTATCAGACATCTGAGATAAATGGGTGTACTGGTTTTGACTGGACATGAGTTTATTTTCTCCACAGTAACTGGTATGGTGCTAGGTTTTGGATTTATGACCAAACCAGTCTTTACAATACAGGGATATTTAATTACTGCTGAGTAGACCTTACACAGAGTCAGGGCCATTTATGTTTCTCAAGCTGCCCCACCAGCAAATTGCCTGGGGATGTAGAAGAATTTGGTAGGGGGCATAGCTGGGATGGCTGACCCAAGGGATATTCCAATTCCATACCGTGACATTGTGCTCAGCAAGAAAAGCCAAGGGAAAAGAGTTTCATTAAGTTAAAATCAATTGAAATTTTAACTTTTTTTTGTAAAAACACATCATCTTCAAATGTACATACTCTTGAAAGAAAAACCAGGCATCATAGAATCCTGTAATAGATGAATATACTCTTTTTTCCAAGGCATTGCTTCTTCTATCTCCTTTTATGCCTGACTCCTTTTATGCATGATTTTATAGCCATAATAAGGAAATGCATTTATTGGCCATAGCCACACATTTCACATTATAGGTAATTAATATCTCAGCCCTTCTTCAAGCACTGCTCCCACAAAAGTTAATGGTGGTGCTGGGCAAAAAATACAGAATTGGCTCCACTCCAGATCATAGAGAACTGCTTCAAACTGGTTTCAGAGCAAGGTCATAGCAAATACAGTAAAATACAAACAGGCTGACTGAAATATAAGGAAATGCATGTCAGAGCCCTAAGTGCACCAACAGGCTCTGCAACCTTTCTGCCTCCATACACACCCTGCCAGCTGTTTAGCTGCTTGGCCTCAGAGTCAGCTCTACCATGGCACAGTTGTGTAACACCAAGTTAGACTGCTGAGAAAACAGAAAAGCTCGGAGGAAACAGCAAGAAACTTTGCTCAGGGCCTCTGCCCTTCAGCTCAGGAGCTCTATATAAGCTCAGGCCCTTGCCTTAACTGTGTTGTAGCTATAACATGGAGATCCTCACCCTGCCTTGCTAACCTGATCATGCAGCTTAGCATCAGACTTGCCTGGCCATCACTGAACAGACTGGGCTGACCCTGGTTAACATCATTGGATCTGCTCTCCTCCTCTTTCTGGGTACTGTGATACTGTGCATCATGTACCTGAGGCCCCAGCCCCTGTCACCCTGCTGTCACTTGTGCCTCTTCCTTGCAGATCAGCCCAGTATTGCTACCCTCTGGTAGTGACTGGTTAGCAAAAAGTCATATCACATTTAAATTCCTAAATGTCTCCGTCAGAGGAGAATGCTCATCTTCTGTAGAACTGTAGGCCAGATTTTGTGCTGTACTGTTCCCTTCTCCCCTTCTGAACATGTGCATGCAGAGCTTGATGGGTTCAGGTTGTACTGGACTTGTACTCAGACACCACAGCTATGCCAGCTCATAACTCAGGGCATAAATCAGAGCCTCAAGATTCACAACTCCCAGCCCTCTGAGCACAGTGAACCAGGAAAAATAACACACCATCCTTTCCTCTCTTCATCTATACTTAAGCCATTTCTCTCTTCAATAAGAGCAACTGAGGCAAAATCTGTTATTCATAGCAATAGCACTGAAATACAAGGGAGGAAACCCAGCTTACCCATACAGGTTGTTTTATTGGAGGTGTCTGACTTCCCTGTTGACCTGTTTCAGAAGACATTGCCTGTTTCCTTGTAGTCTGCTACTGCTCTTGTTCAGCAGAAGCTATGCCTTTTATGCTTGGCTACTCTCTTTCTGCTAGGTACAAAGGTAAAAAGTCAAGATATCATACTGATATTCCTAAGCCCAATTCCTAAGTTCATCTAGAAAAAAAATGACCAGGTTGAAAGGAGTGTGTTTTTTACAGCACATAGCATCCAGTCACCTAATACACAATTTATAGCAAAATTTGTCACTTATCAGCAACACAGAGTTGTATGTAACTTAAACAGGTAAGTCAGTAACTACAATTAAATGCTGAATCATGACCTAGTATAGTATGCATAATCATAAAGAAATGCAAATAAATATGAGCAAGTAACTGAAAACCTTTCTAATTTTGTAATGTATTGCAGGTCCAAGAAATAGCCTCTTTAGTGTGCTGTCCAGAACTTCTATCCTCACTGCCACCATCTGAAGCCTGGATTCCATGGGACCCACCAAGCAAGCCTGTCACAAACTACATCTGCATCTGTATCTCCAGAAACCAAATTCAGTTACAAACATGCATAAAAAAAAAAAAAATAAAACAAACAAACAAACAAAAAAAAAAAAACCCAAAAAAAACCCACAAAAGAATAAATAGATTCCAAAGTGTTTTAGAGTTGCAGTTTTCCATGCTTGAGAGCTGCACTGCTAGGGAAAAGCAAGAAGGAAACTCATTTATTTCTAGAGTAATTCAAACAATATAAATTGTGATTTTTACCTAGCACTTTGCTGCATGGTCTGGCACTTTATTAACATAGAGGACACTTCTGCTTTTCTGAAAAGTACCTTCTGAGAATGGTGGCACTGAACAAGGCTAAAGTGATTTCAATAGAAAAGATATGTAACAATTTACTGACCTAAATGTTTTTTTGCATTCATAATATTACCGTATAAACCACTTCCTGCACTTATTTTGGGGTCAGTTACACAGCTATGAAGTTTAAGCAACATCTGCTTCATATACACTAGATATTCAGACACCAAAGCTTTTTTAAGCAATAGAAGCAAAATATTCTCCTACCCCTTGGTAAAAAAAAAAAACTAAAATAAAGCAATGAATTCATAACAATCTGCACTTTATTCACAGACACTCACAAAATGACAATGATCACTGTGTCTTTGAAAAACTGTAAGTTTGAAAACCCATATTATATCAGGAAAACTCACAGCTCTACACTGTCTTCCTCAATCTGAAAGCAATTTATTTTCATCAGTCTCTTGTCACTTAATGCAAAAAAAGACATAAAATATCAGAAAGATGTATAAAACTTTAAAGAGATTTGTATCAATCAAGAATGAATCAAATTTTCTTTTCTTATCTGCTTTCTTATTCTTATCTACTCACAAAGCCCACTTGTGCAGACGGCTGCATAAAAATAATCACTGGAAACAGTTTCTAAATGCTGCAACAGATTTAAAGAGCTTGTCTTTTTCATGATAATAAAACAGCTGAGTCACAGGAGGAAAATAAATAAAATAAAATGAAGGAAAAAGAATGGGTATAAATAAAGATTATAACTATTTGCAGTTTGCCATGGGCCTCCTATGTTGTCCTAAGTACACATTTCTCCTGAATTACAAGTTATTCAGCTATGCTACTGCTTCAACATAATGAAGAACCCCAAAAATATTTAGCCCTTTAAGCAGCCTCATGGTACGTCTCCCACATGGGATGAAAGCTTAGAGCTCTACTGGCAAGAATGAAACAAAGAGACAGAGTTGATGTCATCAAAATATTATGTAACTGAATTATTAATATTCATACCTAGCAGACAAGCTGTCTCCTATCTGAGGAATGTAAAAATGTTCTAATATTTCAAGGCCTTGTGTCTTGCAAAGACAACTGTTATCCCCAAAAATAACTGTATTTCCATTAAGGTACTGGAAAAATGAAATTTCTTATCATTTTCTGCAATACTCATTACTGTTTTCTCAACCTTACATGTAATTCTTAGTGCAATAATTAAGTGTATACTCTGGGAAGAATTTCCCAGTTATATTATTCTGTTTAAATGAAATGCCTATATAATAGAAGATTAAATCTATGCAATTTGTAAGGATCAAATAGTCAAAAAAACGTATTCATCTTTTACAAGAAATGTTCTAGGTAATTTATTCATTTAGAGAAGAAAATGCTAATTTTAGGCTCCTGAAAAAATCTCACAGTTTGAATACCTCTAATGGAATGACAAAGAAATATTATGCAAGAACACGGGTAAGGTTTTCAAATATGAGAGTTGCCAACTTCATGTACTGTGTTTTCAATAAAAAGCCTCCTTCTGAATAGGAATAGTGACCCCCATAATTTCTAGGACTACTTCGGAGAAGAAAGGGGGAGTCAAAATTGCATGTATTTACTGGTCTACGCAGTGGGCTGTGATGCCCAGAGCAGGCACCACACATCAAAGATTTCAGAGGCACTTCAAGGACCATGGAAGATGACAAGCCTCAACATGATGTTTCACACCTATCTGAACTGGCTCTTTGAAATAAGAGCCCGAGTTTAAAAGAGAGGTGAGTCTACAGAGTAGCTGCACTGGGTGGTCAATGAAAAGGTCGCTGCCAGCAGCCTGAGAGCCGGGGCTGGGGAATGCCCCAAGCCTGCCCAGCCCTGCAGCAGCGGCTCAGTGCCCCCACCCAGGGCAGTGCACGCCCGGCCAGCACTGACCATTTCTTTCCTCGAATCACAGAACCAATTCGGCTGGAAAAGGCCTCTAAGATCGCAGAGTCCTAGCTATGACCAAACACCATCTTGTCAACTGAACCGTGGCACAGCCACGTCCACTCCAATGTCTAATCACCCTTACTGTGAAGAAATTCCTCCTGATGTTCAACCTGAACCTCCTCTAGCACAGCTTGAGGCTACGTCCTCTTGTCCTGCCATTAGTGGTCTGGGAGAGGAGGCTAAACCTCCCTCCGGGTGGTTGCTGAGGGCGATGCAGTCTCCCCGAACATCCTTTTCTGCAGGCTGAACAGCCGAGGCTCCCTCAGCCGCTCCTAGCAGGACGTGTACCCCAGACCCTCCAGCAGCTCCGCTGCCCTTCTCTGGGCACGCTCAAGCCCCTCAGGGGGGACAGCGCCGCCGGGCGGCAGCACAGGCAGACACAGGCACAGACACAGGCAGACACAGGCAGAGACACAGGCAGAGACACAGGCAGAGACACAGGCAGAGACACAGGCAGACACAGGCAGACACAGGCACAGACACAGGCAGACACAGGCACAGACACAGGCAGAGACACAGGCACAGACACAGGCAGACACAGGCAGACACAGGCACAGACACAGGCACAGACACAGGCACAGACACAGGCACAGACACAGGCACAGACAGGCGCAGACACAGGCACAGACACAGGCAGCGGCAAAACAGGCTGCGGCCGGCCGTCGAAAGCCGCGTCTCAGGCCCGCCTTTCCCCCGCCTTGACACCGGAGCCGCTCGGCGCGGAGAGGACGAGTCCGACACTCACGGGCCTCACCGCGCTTACCTTGCGCGGGCCGCTGGAGCAAACGGAATGGGCAGGGCTGGGCTGGGCTGGGCCGGGCTGGGCAGGGCTGGGCTGGGCTGGGCTGGGCTGGGCTGGGCTGGGCTGGCCCGGCCCGGCCCGGCCCGGCCCGGCCCGGCGGCCCCGGAAGCGCACGAGCCGCGCCTGCCGGGCCGGGCCGCGGGCTGCCGGGCTGCAGCGCCGCCTGCCGGCCGCCGGGCGCAGGGACAGCGGGCGGCCCTCGGCGCCGCTCCTCGCGCCCTCGGGGCCGTGCGGGCGCTCCTCCCTCCCCGGCGCGGCTCCGGTACGAGAGCTGCGAGCGCGCCGAGGAAATTCAGCGTCCTCGGATTTCCCCGCTGAAATTCAGAGCTCTGTTTCAGCGAGGGTATGTGTTAATGAAGGTAACAGAATCACGGAATCATTAGGGTTGGAAGGGCCCCATGGAGGTCATCTGGTCCAACCCCCACTGCGAAGCCAGGGCCACCTGGAGCGGGTGACACAGGAATGAATTTGGAATGTCTAGAGAAAGGGAGACCCCCATGACCTCCCTGGGCACCCTGTTTGGTGCTCTGCCGCTCTCAATGGAAAGATCTCACTCAAGTTTAATTGGAACTTCTTGTTTTAATTGATGGCCATTACTCCTTGTCCTGTAAGAGAAGGGTGTTGCTTTGCTCTCATATACTCAATTAAATGAATTTAAATAAATTCTGTTAATTGGATCAGATGGCCTCTTGTGCTCACTCATAACAATTCTGTCGCTGGGCACCATCAGAAAGGGTCTGTCCCCATCCTCTGACACCCACCTTTGAGGTATTGACATGCACTGATGAGATCCCCTCCCCGTTTTCTCCTCTGCACACTAAACAGGCCCGGCTCCTGCAGTCTCTCCTCAAGAGAGATGCTCAGGACCTCTAATCATTCCTGTACCCTCTCCAGTTGTATTTCTTGTAGTGAGGAGCTCCATATACAACATATGGGGTCTGTCCTACAAATTCAAAATATTTTTTCTAGAAATGAAATCTTGTTCTTTAAAAAAGAAACAAGAAATTCTACTTTGACCATTTTGGAATGAAAAGCATTGCCTATCTACTTTGGTTTTAATAATATGTTCATTATGTAAGTAAATAATTAAACATTAATATTAACAAGAATTAAAGAAATAAGAAAGGCATTTTCATCAAGCAAAAATAACTTTTCAAGAAAAAGTTATCCTGAAAGTATTAGTTGGGTGTGGGAGGGGTTGTTCTAGGAATTTTGAAAAATGTGGTTCTACTTTCTCTGAAATGAGAAAAGCAATGCCTTTCTTTAAGAATATGTTTTCTAAAACAGAAAATATAAACATTAGTTTTATTTTGCATTTTATTTTACTAAAAAAGTCTCTGTTTCTATTTTGGTTTGCTTTGGGTTTGTTTTTGTTTTTGTGGTATTTGTTTTCTTTTTTTTTTACTGCAAGACAGTAGTTTTCAGTAGAGTATCCTTAATGGTGATATGACACTTCAGTGCTTGTCATGAAATGAATAGCCTGTGAGATCATCATTAAACATCCTCCTTTTGCATGACTTTGGCATCTCAGTTTCATAAGAAACATAAATTGTCATTAATTTTCTTAAGTCAAAAACAAGCTTTCAGCTTTCATGAGCTGAAGCTACTTCAGCTAATTGAAGCGCCTTTCTCCAGACTGTTCTCCCACTCTTGCCTGCCAAACCAGAGGATCACACTTTGCTGCTGCAAAATGTGCTTTTCACATGGAGGCTGGGCAAGAGTATTGTCCTAAAACAAATCTTGAAAGTGTTTCTAACACCTCCTGGGATCTAAAAGGTATTCTTGAAACATACATGAAAACAATTTAATAGATACTGGCTACATGCTGGCTATTCTGAAAAATACAGTACACAAGAGAATCCCCTGTGGAGTGAGTACTCAATAACCAATAACGTCTTAACTGGTCCAGATTAAAGTGAACATAAAATGAAAGAGCACTGGAACGATAATTTTCTCATGGGGCATATGTGTGCCTGGGGATAGTGGTTGCCTAGAGATAGGACTGTTTGGATTCTTGCACCTTTCTGTGCAAAAGTGCCTATTAAAAATCGGTTTAAGCTTCTTTTTAATTTTAACTTTAAATGTGAAGTTGGTTATCACAATCGAATATGTTCTTCAAACACTTTCTTTCCAAGATTTACCTGAAAGTTTTTCAGAGTTATAAAAATGGAGAGAAGGTAATAGACAGAAACAAGTAAATGTTAGTGATTTGGAAGAGTAAACACAAAGCAAAAGAGATTCTTACTGCTCCTGGAACAAAACCAACTTTATGCATAAAAGAAAAAAAAAAAACAAACTCAAGTGATACCAAAAATAAAACAACCAATACAGAATTGAATGTTTGGCTGAGGAATTACCTGTTGTCAGAGTAGAAGCAGATCAAGGACTGAGATTTCACAAACTCTGGGAAGGTTTACAGGCTTCGGCTGCTTGTCTGAAGAACCTCTTAGAAAACACTGAAGGGTTGCCAGGGCCCTGAGGTCCACCACAGTCACCAAAGCAAAACCTTTCGGGTGTGCATATTTAACAGAACCACTCCCCGTGTGAATGCAGTGAGTGTCAGAAGGAGGAACTATTGCCACTTATGATAAACGTGGTTTATCTGTCTATTACAAAATCAAACCCTGTTAATTGCTTGAAATTTCCCTGAGAAACAAAGCTCCATTCCTTTGCTTTGTAACCATAACAGCATGGAAAACAAAGTAAGAATTACATGCCAGGGCATTGTTCTTATGCTGATGGGAGCAGGAGTTAAGGGCAAATGAAAAGACGTGAAAAGTCCCAGCAGGAAACAGTCAACATACCTCAGAGTAAAACATTAAACTGCCCTCACCACTTATAAGGAATCATGTAAGTTTTCTGTGTCTTGGCTGATTATTGGGTGTACTTCTATTTATACTTGGTCTGGGCTATCTTTTAGAAGTGAATAGTTGGTAATTACAAAATGTTTAAGATATAGGATTTCCTCTTCTCACTGTGAAGAACCCAGTAAAGTGCTTGCAGAGACCTGCATGTGTTTGTGTTTCCCATGAGATTGTGACAGGTGCTTAACTCATCCACTCCTGCTTTTTTCCAGAGTTGCAGTTTTAATCCTACTTTCATGCTTTTTTCTCCCATTTCTCTAACACTTTCTTCTGCTTCTTCATCATGCCCATTCACACATCTCAGGCAATATGCAAGGACAGCTTCTCTGAAAGTTCTTTTAAATGCCATGTGCTCACTTGGGTTTCAAAACATGCTTGTATTACAGTTTGAGCCCAAATAAAGCATTGTTTTTTACAATCGCTAGCTTTAGAAAAGTTTACCCCTGTCAACCAATGTAATTATGGGGCTGTTAAATTTTTATATCTGCCTTAGGGTAGGGGTGTCTTAAATACTATTCTAGAATGAAAATGCTTCTTGTTCTGTGAGTGGAAGGTCCTACTATAGTGTTTTCTTGACTTTACTGGTTTGACATCATTGTATTCCTAAAAAGACCAAATGCTTTTTGCTTTATTTTTTTGTCAAGTACACCTGTGGCACTCCATGAATAATAAAAAAAAAAAATGTAGTGAAAGGCATTGCTACACGTATATGTGTAACTAAGCACCTTGCAAGCATTGACTTCTGTATTTAAGACAATACACCTGAAAACTCTCTCCTCTTTTGCTCTGATTCTCATGCATATATTAGCCCTACAGAGAGCACTAGAATGTAACTTTGTGACATGTGAAGCCAAACTTAATAAGAATCTCAGAAAGAGTACCCGGAATACAATTGCTAAATTTGTAAGGATTTGCATTGTTTTCATTGCATTATGAATTTAATGGAAGCCACACAAGCATATCAGGTTCACAATTCCTGTCATGTCTTGTTTTACTGGAACTCCACCTCTGAACCATGAAGCAAGATACTGTAATTACAAAGAGGGTTGCAAAATTTTTTTAATATTTATTGGCTGAATACATGCGGTGAGCCGCACACTCCCGCTAAGCAGCTCCAAAAGCAGCCATGTTCTTTGTTTATTTTGTCCAAAGATCTCATCTTCCATTTGCATCACACCACAGCAAGATGAAATCGTGTTATCACTGACATAATCCTGATATCCAGTGATAAGTCAGTTTGGTGATTATTCTGTTATGACTTTTCTTTAATGAAGAAAAAGAAAGATGCCTTTAATGACATGGAACTTGGAGAAAACAGAGAAGCTCATTAAATCTATGAGTCTCATTCTTCCTTTCCTAGTGAGGTCAACTTTTCCATCAAAATACTTTAATTCTTTAGTGGACATTTAAAACACATTTCAAATTTTTAAAGCACATTTTCAAATAGCAGCCAAAATTCAACAGGGTTTTTGTAATAGCCAAACCCCATCATACTGCAGGGTCAATGAATCACTTGACTTTGAGACTTCTAGGGCAAAATTTAGTTTAGTACCGTCTCCTCTCAAATGTCTAGACCAGACTTTATTGCTAATAATAGGTCATACAGATGATAGGTGTTTAGAGTTTACTCCTATGGATTTAGAGTTCAAAAACAGGGGAAAGAAGATGCATACCATAAGGTTTATTTAGAATGAGACAGTCTTTTAAACACAAATGATGGCAGTTCTATAGGATGCTGTATGAAAATTACTGAAATTTAAGATGATGGTATATTCCAAGAGCAAAAGGACTTAGTTCTTAGCTTATATTTACAATTTTTTTTTTTTTTCCCCCCCCCCCCCCCCGAATTCTAAAATTGAGATTTTGCTTATGTAATCTTCTTGCCAGAACTTGACAGCTGTGATCGCGGCTGGCTTAATTTAACTCATGATTTCTTCTAAAAATAACAAACGTAGTTACTCAGGAATCTCAGCAAACGAAACACTTCCTTTGGTGCTTTTGTAGACAGCATTGCTTATCAGAAGTCCTTACTCTGCTATAAAACAACACATATTTCACAAAGGCGAGCACAGTACTAAATCGGACATCCTCGAACCCCGCATAGTCAACCATGTGTTTGTGCAAGCTGCCGAGTGGCTTAGCTCCTCTTTTCCCCGCCAGCATGTGCTATGACAACCGTTTACTTTTGTATTTCTTGCTGCCGTGACTGCTCAGGGGACAAACTGCCGACACATGAGTGGCGGGGCGAGATGTCCCGGGCGTTCATCGCGGCGGGGCCGTGCGGGGCGCGGAGAGCGCGGTGCGGCCGTGCGGGCTGCCGCCCCAGCCGGGGACGCGGCTCCGTGAGGCGGGCCGGGCGCGGCGCCGCGCCCTGCCGGCACTCGCGACTCGGCTCCCGGTGAGAGGGACGCAGCCCGCGCCGAGCCGGGCGGCGCCGGGCGATGTTCCCCCTGTGGAAGGCCGTTCTCTCGGAGAGTCTCCTGGGTAGGTGGCGCGGCTGGGGGCGAGGGCCCGCGGTTGAGGGCGCCGGGGGCGCCCAGCCCCGGCAGCGCGCCGCGGGGCTCACCGTGCGTGCAGGCGTGTCGCCGAGGAACAGCTCCCCTCCGGAACGAGTAAATAGTGCTCACATCTGAGCGCTCGTCTCTGGGTTCTTTTTTTCCCTGCAGTGCTGGAATGCTTTTTGTCTCTTGGATCAGCCTAGAATGTATTGCTGCTCACGGCCAGGTGTTTGTGCGGGTGCTGTTCTGCCCTGCTCAAGGCAGGGCTCCCAGGGTGGTCGCCAGACCCAGCGCCCGCAGTGTCGTCTGCTCGGTGCATCTCCTGCAAAGCACGGAACCTCACAGCGCAGGGCTGCTGTGCCCGGACAAGGCGTCTCCAGGGGAGAAAGAACAGCGCACCGATTTACTAGAATAATTCCTTTAGCCACCAGTCTGCCTTTGAGGAGCCCTGAGACTGTGGGTGGACTGCTTATTTAGCCAGCCCTCCGAACACTAATCCTTTCCGAATTAGAGCACTTCACTGAGGTTCAAAGTAGGAACTGCTGTCTGAGTAGGGGAAGAGCTGTTGTATTCTCATCGTTGTATTTCCTCGGAAAATGTGTTTGTTTAACATTAAATAACAAACATTTCTTCAAAGAAGGTGGCTGTTGTTACTTGAACTGCTTTCAAATATATTTGATAGCCTGTATGCGAAAGTATAAAATGGTACTTTTTAAGTAATCTCCAGGAAATCTTGTTGAAAACGCATGATGGGGTTTTCTCTTTTTGGTTTGTTCTTGTTTTAGGCTACATTTCTTGGTCTCTTTATCATGCACTGCCACCAATGATCTACTACTTCCCTCTTCAAACACTGGCACTTACAGGCCTAGAAGTTTTTGCTGTTGCCTTCTTTTCCCCGATATTCTTGACAATTGGCCCTTTTTGGAAGTTGGCTAACAATGAGTACGTCCTAGCCTTTCTGAGACTGACTATGGTTGGTAAGTATGCACTTATAGATTCCATTTTGGTATCAGTGCATAAGAACAAACATTGCAAGTTACCTTAAAATTCAGACAATTGCAAAAAAGACAAGACTAAAAAGTTCCCACTCTCCCCATACTCATGTTTTGTTGGTTTCTTTTTTTTCTCTCAAGGTTTTAGCTATAGTCTAGAGTATAGTATAGAGAAATATTTTTTTGTAGCCATTGTATTGCATAAATGCAGAAAAATATAGTTTCACTTTTATTTCTAGGAGCTTTTAATTTAGTAATAGTCATGCCCAATGGGAAAGGTGTTTACAGTATTACTCAAATATCATCAGAACAGGTGTTTTCTAAATTGTGACTATGGGTAGGGATGAGGCATTACATAACAGCTTGGGGCTAGTTTCTATGAGTGAAACATTCTTTTTTAATTTCTGAGGCAGTTTTTCTTCTAAGAATGTATTTTTAAAATTAAATCTGTCTATCTACATGCCTGTAGAGGGGTTATAGGCTCATCCTAAATATGAAATAAACTCAGGAAATAGATGCCCCATTTCCCATTCCATAGGCTCCTCCTTAAATGAAGATTTGCTGGGATTCCCACTTCAGTCTCCAGATAACTGGTTCAAATCTTAGCTCTTGTTGATTTTTTAAGTTTTTCAGGGGAAGGTTTGGCAGTTACAGCCACGCTCAGAGGCGAGTTATGCTAAAGAGTTTGCCACACTGGATGAATCGAAGGAGACAAGTGTCTCCATCCTGTGCAGAGGTGAAAATGCTGCTGCTGAGTGATGTGGTTCAGAAGCAGCAGATCCTAGCTCCTCATTTGTCAATATAAAATGATAGATAGATAATAACTTACCCTATAGTTTTCCTCTTTTACTGTTAGAAGACAGAGTAAGATCATCTTATTTACTTTCCCTGTGTAGTTTTTTAAAAAGAATTACTGTTCTTTATCTCTAGAAAAATACTAGAACTGAGCAGAGTTTGTTAGTGTCATTGATTTTCATTAAGAATTGTTTCTTTTCTTTTCCTGCTCTTCCCATTATATCCATCCTAGTATTTTCTTCTTTAGTAATAAGCTTCTCAGTGAACAGAATCTTCAGCTTCTTGCAGCAGTGCCTCATGTGTTGCCTTCAGCAAGATCTAGTTTAGAAAGTAGGAGTGAGTATAAGCATTTAAAATTGCACCTTACTTTCCTTCAGATGTGACAGTAACACAAAATTTGCCATGTTTATTTAAGGTTGAGTCTTCAGATCACCTTGCTGTGTTTACTAGTTCACTTTATCAAAAGAGATGGAAATCACGTAGAAGTGTGCAATTTTTGTTCTGCTAAATAAAGAGTAGTGACAGGCCTATGATGGTCTTTTATGTGCTGCTGATTCTCCTGTTTCTCAGTTCTTCCTGTGTTTTTTTTCCTTTGTACTGATACAATTTTATTTATTTTCTTTTTGATCTTTTTTGCTTCTTAAAAAGGCCATGGCCTTCCTCTGGCACTTGTTGAATTGTCAGGCAGAACAATCTACCCCATGCATGCTCCACCCCATTCTACTCAGTCTTCAATTTCACAATCAAAAAAGAAAATTCTTCATGCTTAGCTAAGACCAGAATATTTATGGGGATTATTTTTTCCTGTTCTGTTTCTTTCTGCCTTTTCAGGAAGCTTTCTTTTCCCTGCAACTTCTAATTTCTGTATCCTTTTGTGCTACTTGATTTTGTGTTCTATTTGAAAACAAACTACAGCAAAATACCCTGTGGTAGTGTCTATTGGCATCTGAGTCTTCAGACAACATACGTTAAATTTGGGTGTTTGGATAGATATATTCAAATCTTAGGTGTACTTGCCCAGCAACAAAAGGTGTGTCTGCTCTAACTTGGCAAACCCATGCTACCTTTAATCAGGGTAGCTAGCACACATGATGAAATATTTGAAGAGGCAGGTTTATGGATTGCCAGCACAATTTAGTGACAGAAATCTGTGTGTACCGTACATGAAAACTCTGTTGAAGTTCATGCAAGTGCACCTTCACTGCACATCGATCTTGTTTATTGTCTTGGCTCTAAACTTTTATCTTTTACCCTGAGCAGAGTGAGCAGGTAAACAGTTGGAGGATTTCTAACATGCGTTGCCAGAACCTGCAGTGCCATTTCTGACATTTCTTGCTTAACATCTCTTCAAGTTTGACTCATACTGACTTAGCAAATGGCTGGTATCATAACAGTGTTGTTGCTTCTCCTGCTGTTTGTCATTGGTCCTGGGAATTTGCCACACTGACTGAAGTTACGAGACTATATGTGGTCCATTGCACTTGAATTGGAAACCTGGAAACCTGTTAGCAGAGTTTGAAACTGCTGGTAATGTGGGGTCACTGTGCCCTGGGAAATGGCAAAAATGTGTGCACGTGCTCTCTTTCAGTGGCTGGGAAAATGGTAGTTCTCAGAAATAAAACGGCACAGGCCAGTAGTGACCAGATACTGAGCCAGAGAAAGCCTTGTTCACCCCTTCTGGGGCAGTTGATTTCTAATCCCTGTGCTATGTGTGGTGACTGCTCCTGTCTAATAAAGAATGTGCCACAGAGTACTTTTGTAAGTGCACTGCAGCAAAAGCCACAGTCACAGTGGAGCAGTCACAGTACATAAAACTTTATGGCTTTTGACTTATCTAAATGCATGCTTGAAGAATGTCTGTGTGCTCTGATATCCATATATCCTCTCTACCCAGTTTCTATGCATACCTGCATTTCTTTGGTTTGTTTAAAAATGTGTAATGTCATGTGTTTTCAGATATGTGGTGCAGCTGTTCAAATTACAAACAACGTTGACCTAATGCACAGGAAATCCTTATTACCCGGTCTCTATTGATCATTAAAGTAACCTGTGTGCATGTATTTGTTTGTAGGAAGCTTAGCATCATACCATGCACCAAATGCTACAATTAGACTGCTCATCTTGGCTGCTGGTGTTTCTTCTTCATTGCTGGTTCAAACAGTAACATGGTGGTCAGGAAACAGTTTACAAAGGTATCTTATACTGATGGAATTTAACTGATGTTTATTTATATTAAAAGCTGTTTTTTTTTTTTTTTAATCCCCCAAACATCTCACTATTTTAAAAACCGATTCTTACAGATTCATCAGGATATGGGGCTTCATGCTAGGCAAGATAATGCTCCTTGTTCTTCGTATCTGGTACACATCACTTAATCCAGTCTGGAGCTCACAAGTTGCCAATACTGTCATACTGACAATTGGTTTCATAGCAGCAGTGGAGCGAATTCATTCAAGTAAGTATGTTACAGCAAAGATGGTGGTTATGAAAAGAATCGAAAGTATACCTAGCTATGTGTCACTGGATTTTGGCTCTTTGATTTTTTTCCCCTTCACAGTCTGGTTTTAGACCTGCTGCATGAGCATTGCAGGTTTTAGAAGTCGTGGGGTACTTCAATCTGCCCATAATATGGCAGAACTGGTATCACAATTCATACAAGTGGTAGTAAGTTAGTGCCAGATCTGCCTCTTTCCTTATTGCAGTGCCAACAATATGACAGTAACACAAACAAAGGCATAATATAGGCCAATAAAATCAGAATGGATTATTGTCTTTCCAGCATGAAACATTTGTGGTGTTATTGTTATTTTGTTAATTCAGTTTACACTTTGAGTTCCTCTGCCAGTGTGTATCTTTTAACAGAGGAGATATAGTTGGGGAACAGCTGATATGTGAAAGTAAACAGAAAGAATTGGAGGAATGGACAAGTTGTCCCAGTTAAACTTTGCCCAAGTTCTTGGAGTGTTTGCACAGAGTACACAGTAGTGGGGGCTGGCATAGGCTAAACTGTGGAGATGGTATTGCCAAGGAAGACAGCAAGGTTGGGTTGGTTAGTTAAGGCAGCTCATGTTAAATCCTTAGAATCTCCTTCCTTCTCAGTATAACCTTAATGAATTAATTGAAAGATAAAACCTTATCTATGTGTAAGTGGGTATAAATTAGCATCATGCATATTGTCTGTAAGCTTGCATTACACAATCTAAATTAAGACTGAGTTTTCATCAGAATTTAGAAACGGAATCTGCTGCAGGAGATTAAGAAGGAAATCTGTCTTGTTTGTGGGTGACAAAATGATATGTCTATGCAATTAAAGGTGCTGCTTTCTCCTTAGATGAGAGATGTTCTAAAGCACATGGAAAAAAGAGAAGTAAGGGAGTTTATTTCTGGCTTATTTCGAAGTGTCAGGTTTTGTTCTTATCAGAGTTTAGAGTTTCAGAGAACAGAAGCCTCTGAGTAAATTCTAATAACTTTTCTGCTCATTTTCAAAGCCAATTTAAACATTTAGAAGTTATTATGGAAAATAATCAGATGGATGGGTTGGTATTTTTGAACACTTATGGCAAGTATATTTTCTTGACAGACCTCGGGTTGTTAGTAAAGATTTTTTTTTTTTTTTGTATTATCAAATTCTGATAACACAATCCTAATTAGATAAATTAGCTTTTTGTTCAGCATGCAATTTATTATAGTAAATTTGTGATTTTAGCTATTTCTTTTTCTCAGTAACTCTTGCAAATAGGATTTGACAGTTTGCTTAGCTGTATTTCTATTCTTATTCTAGATGGAAACAAAAGGAAACAAGAAACAAACAAAACTGGTAATGTGATTAGAGAGACTGCTTCCCATCCTCATTGGTTTTTATCAGGGATTGCTTTTGGCAGCCTTATGTTCCTCACTCTGTGGATATTTGGGGAGGTTTCATTAATTTCTAGATGGGCAGTAAGTGGACATCCACATACAGGTCCAGATCCTAATCCATATGGGTAAGTACATTATTATTATTATTATTATTATTATTATTATTATTATTATTATTACCAAATTGTAATGAAAATCCAGTGCTGTAGTGGGTGACAAATTAAAACTCAACCTGATTATGGTATAAGATAGAAAAACGTGGGTACAAGGTGCTTTACACAGAGGATTCATTCCTCCTTTGAGATATTGCTGAGTATTTTGTGTAGACCTTAAACTTTTCTGATACATTTTTATTTTTATTTCAGCACTAAAATTTGGTTTGCCACATTTCAAAACAATTTTTAGATTAGCACTGAGGTTCAAGGACTTATGAATGCAGTGTATCTATAATATGCAGTAAATTAGTCTAGCAGTTGTCTTCAGAGAGGAGATGATCAGAGATGTGTGCATGAAGTATAAATAAATGTGTACACTATTAAAATATATAATTCAGTAGAAGTTTTGATTAGTAAGAATGTAGACTAAATGCTGTGTGTGGTTCATTCAAGTTCCAAAATCTAGAAAGAGACCAAATTAGTTATTCTGAGTAAACTACATGTGCTTGCAGGTGACAGAATTTATAATTTGGAATTGGTATACAAAAGAGCTGTATACAAAATTGGTATACAAAAGACTGTGAGCAGTGTTAGATACTTTAGGATTCCTTATTTGACATGAAGAAAATAGTTCTGTTTGGGGTAGATTCTTCCCTTTCATTTTCTCTGTGTTGTTTTTATCTTTTGTACCAAGATTTCAGTGGACTGCTTTTGCTGCCGAACACAGCAGTAAATTGCCATTATTTTCAACTGGATGTTTTTTACATCCAATAAAGTGAAGAAAATATAGCTGGGTGTGAACAAAATTTAGCTTTGTTTAAAGTAAAAGAATTATAATATAATAACAAGGACCCTTGTCTGTATATCTAGAAGTTTCTTTTTCAATATCAGGTAGTTTTAAAATCATATCCGTGTATGTTTTCTTTTTCCTTATTGTTGTATCAGAGGTACAGTTCTGTTGGGCCTTGCTCATGGATTGATGCTTTCATTTTGGAGCTGGTCTTTTGTCATCAGTTTTGCCTTGTTTCTTATAGGTAGGTGCAAATCCTGAGCAGAATTTTGTGTTACCTTATCCCTTTACTCAAGTCCTCTGACCTGACACCACATCTCAGAAAAGTGTGGCTAATCAAAGCCTCCTTTTCTCTTGCCACTGACTGTAGTACACATATGTCTGACCAGTTGACTAAGGGTTACAGGCCAAATCTCCAGGCCATTGCAGAGCAGTGTTATTGTCTCCAGAAGCCCTGTTAAGGTTCTGTTCCCTTGAGCAGCATCTTAGTTCTGACCACCTGCATTGTATAACAGTTGGACTTAATGACCTTAGAGGTCTTTTCCAACCTTAGTGATTCTATGATAAGGCCAAAGCTACGATTATGGAGTTGAGAGGACACAAGCCTCTCAATTCCACAGGAGGCAAAATAACTTGTAATTTAACAAGCAGTCTACCCGGAGACAAGTTTACCTCCTGTGTCTTTACTTGCTAAGTTCTACAGACAGTAAAATATTATGAACAGGCAGGTTTTAGGGTTAAGAAATGTGTGTGCAGATTGTAATGTAAGCATGAACTTTTGATTTTTGATGTACACACATTGCTTATTTAAAACAGGCACAGAAAGGTTCTTTTGCTGATTCAAGCATTGTATTCTAAAATGCTCGGAACCTTGATGTATTAAAGTTAAATATTAAAAGTGTTTCTATATATTTACTTTTATGGTGTGACAGTAAATATTCATATCTACAATAATATTTTATTGTAGATATGAATGTTTTAAAATGAAGATGTCCTGTTATAGAGATGTTCTGTTTAGAGTCAAATCCCCAAATCAAAGATAGCATGGTAAGTCAAGGACCTTGCAGTCAGTAAAAGATTAATAGTTGCTTTCTTGCCCTTTCTATAGTTATCTACAGGGAAAAATAATGAAATTCTATGTTTTCATATTAATCTATCTGATTCTTTCTGTATTATGGTAAAAGAGATTCATAACTGATAGGCCTGTTACTCTCTTAAGAGCTGCATCATTCCTCTGTTGTGCTGAAGAACTCTGTAAGAAAAAACTGTTTGGTTTTGGCTCTTTATGTTTCTCTGCCCTCTTTTTGCTATATTGTTTTCAGCTGAATAGGCAATGCTTCAAGAGTGAGATACTGGGAAAATAAAAGACTCTCTTTAGCTGCTGTGAATACCTGTCCTTCTAGTAATGCAGTTTTAAGGCTGGAAAGCACAATTATATTTCCCAGACTCTGTTTTTTCACTAGCCAGAATATGAAAATGGATGTGGTGGGTAATATACCTGACTGAGACTTACTCTATTCTTTTCTATCCCTTCACAGGTTTGGCATCTTCAGCTGGTCTCCTTTATTTACATACCTGGAGTGCTGCTGTTGCAGGCAACATTCTTGGTGTCTTTACTATGTGTGTGTGGCCTCAACTAGCTGGACGCTTTGTCAGCTGTCTGCATCCTGGGAAAGCCATGAGCACAGCCATGTTTGCCTATGTTCTTGAATTATTCTTCTGTGTTTGGTGTACAGCTTATAAATTTGTACCTGGAGGAGTTTACATTAGAGAAAGCTCCCATCTTCTTCTAGGTACATTTGTGATAATGAACAAATACAAATATGCTTGCTTTAGCCTCAGACAGACACGTGAAATATATCTATTGTATAAAGAGTCTTTTCAAATGCTTGATTACTGTTTAATAACTTATTGTGGTAAGAGTTTCAGTGCAAAAATTAATGAGACATGCAAAAAATATTCTACTTGTTTCTTTACTGTTAGAAATAGTCTAAAATGTGGACAGAAAATGGAATTCAAAAGTGGAAAAATGTCTGATAATTAAAGTACGCAGTGGAGAAGGAGATCTGTTATTCAGTCACTCTAAAAATATGGCTGCAATCCAGGGTGTGAATGCACAAATATGCTGGCTACCTAAGGTAGCAGTGCCTAAGGTAACAGGGTAGCTACTGGGACTGTAATGTAATTCAGTGCATTATTTAGCCCTGCTCTGCAGGGCAAAGTGCAGCATCCTGATGATCTAGCTAGTGTACATTAGAGACCTGAGCTTCTTTCCCCTGTGTCTCTACCTTATGTTTTGTGGACACACCAGCATGTTTGGGGCATTTCAGATGAGCCTGTAGCATCAGAAACATGTGAACAGGACAGGCAGAAAATAAATTGTTAGGTATTTTCAAATAAGAACTGAGTTGAGCAAATATAAAGGCTTTAGCAAAATGATGACTTGATGAGGGTGGAGAGGTGGAAAGGAAACCAACCCTTCCTGGTTTTGTGTCCAGAAATATTTTCTCAATAGGTTCTAACATGTTTCAATGGCATATTTCACTAACTACATTTGAACAATGCCAGACATTGTCTTGGGCTAAATGTGGGACATTTTAAAAAATGTGATGCATTAGTATATTTTATTTTGAAAATATTAATGACTAATTTAACTTGTTGCTCCAAAGGTTTCATATTCTATAAATGTGTTTGCAACTACTTTGTGTCACTCCAGTTTCTTACTCTCCATGTGTGTTTCTTATATTACGGCATTCACATGAGGGATTTGAGTTCATTATGTTTTACGAGAATTTAATTCCATTATTGCATTATTTTCTTTGTTCTGAAAGCACTCTGAGGAGTCTTTAGAAATAGTTATCTTAGCCAATTAAATTTAATTTTTTGAAGTTATATGAAGAATGGAGTGTGGTAGAGGAGTGTCATGCTTCCACAAAAGTAATGCTTTCACAAAAGAAATACTTTTATTCAAAATTCCTTTCTGTTACTTTCTTTTAAATGCACACTTGTGATTAATTTACCTGGTGTGATCACTGGGTAGTAACAGAGAGATGGTTCTAATTTTCTCTTTGGTAAAGAAAACTGTAAATGGAACACAACTGATGGCACTGCATGAGTTTAACTTCCATCTGGGAATGCAGTCTCTATCTTTTTCATGCCATCCCATAGCTTATCAAAGTAATACCATGAGACTGTGTATTTGTTGCTGTGCTTTTACCCTTACAGCTTGGCTTTCTGGCAAACGGGTCATTTTCTTCTGGTTTCTTGTAGGTGCAAGTGCTATTACTTACTTTCTTCTCCTGTCCAATATCCTGCCTTTCTCTTGCTGCAGTTTGGGTAGGGAACTTCACCAGCAAAAGTGACAATGAAAGTAAGATCATTAAATTCAAAACTTCTGTGCTGCTTCACTGTGGTGTGATATAAAGCTGAGGGGTCAGATTCCTGATCTCCATCAACTTTAAAGTCTGTGAATCAGCCACCCTTTGAGAAAGGTTTTGTGTGTTCCCCTTCATTGTGCTAGACCAAGTATCCTGGTTGGTAAACTTTCACTACAGCTAATGTAACAAGTAAGGGAAATAAAAAAATACTGACTAATAGTTAGCTATTACTCTGAAGTAAAATATGGCTTCTATAATTAATTAACTATGCCACAAAGATATTAAGGGCATATATCTTCTCTGGCAGAGCTCTTATCCAGTTCATTATCCTTCCATGCTTTTTTAAAAAGTAATTGCATTCTTTAGCTCATTAGGGATTGGAAAAGACCTTGTATTATTTGTCTGAGATACTTACTGAAAAGATTCAATCCCCACTCATTGCAACAGTTAGTGCACTGAAGTTGCTTACTAGCTTTTAAAATGTATCTGTAGGTATATTTAGTTTTCTGTTCTTAAAAAGCAGAAGTACTTCTGTTGGCTCTGGAGTTCCAGAATACAAGCTGCTGCCATGTTAAATTGACCTTCCAGCCTGCTGTAGTCTGTTTACACTGTTTTATAGCCAAGTGTTGAACAATTGCTTTTGTAGTTCCTATATGAAAAATGTGTTACTTTTATCTTGGTGACTGAGCAGTTCATTGCCAAAGGTTATAGATATGTGTAATCATCAATGTCCTTTATTCAGCATGCTGTTGTTTTGAGGTTCTATAATATGTAGGTGTAACTCAATTGTTCTTGTCTAGGTTAATTTCAGTAAACTTTGAAAACTGTAGGCTCAGCTGAGAGTTGTAGCCATCAATAGGGCCTGGAAGGATTTTAGCATAATTTATCTGCCATGTGCTAACCTTTTTGACATAATACCCTGTAACTGCACTGCAAATCAGCCTTTACTTGAGAGACCTGCCAATAAATCTCATAGTTCCTGCCTTGTCTCATAAGGTATGGCATTTATCTGCATTTTGTTTTGAATCCTCTTTGTTGTTGGAACCATAAGGCTGTGATGTTGTAACACAACAGCTGGGAGTTTATAAAATGTGTTTTTAAGCAATGTTTAATATGTTAATGGTCTATGAAAAAACTAATTACTTATATTTTTACAGGTTTTATAATGTTATGTATTGGGGTAGACTTTCTAACAGGACCCAAGAAAGACCTTAGCTCTGTCTTTGAAGTGAAAAGCAATCAAAAACTATTCTTCAAAAGGAGTAAAAACTGTATTAAACTACGTAAGTATAATTTTAGTTCCTGTTCTCCATGAATCTAGGAATATTGTTTAAGGAAAAAAAAAATAACACTGTGGAGTATTTGGTCAGATATTTTAGAAATGTCTTTTTGGTGCTAGTCTTAGACTGGTAATTGGTATTTCCCTAGTTCCAGGTTAATGATGACATATACTGCTGGAGGAGCTGAATAACTGTGGTTGTGACTGATAGAGGCTATTCCTATTGGAGTGTGTTAAACAGAGACAAGAATCTGGCCAAAATGCGAAAATGGATTCAGCATCATTGGTGGTTTTGTTTCAGTGGTTGAGGAGGAGGCCTCTCTGGATCTTGGGATTGACATTGTTTGTACAAAAGATGCGATGGTTTCCCAGCACGCGGTACGGCGTTTTTGAGGCGGTTCAGGGTGACAGCGCTGCCAGGGCTGTGTGGGCTGCCTGGCAGTGCGGTGGCACTCGGCTGGCCCTGAGCTGCTGTACAGTGTGACACTCATGTGAGGAGGTCCTGCAGCGCCTGCTGTGGCCAGCAGCACAGCACAACGCTGGACACTGGCTGTGTGCTCAGACCTGGCCTGTCCTCAGGAAGCCATTGTCATCTGCTGCCTCTCAACTATGCCTAGGGATCCCAGATTTTCAGATTATATGTATGGGGTTTGCTTTTTTCCTTAGGTTTTGAAGAGAAATGAAAACCAAATGTTTGAGGTTTTATCACTCTATGGCTTTTAAAGCATACAAATATTTTCAACTATTTCTCTACAATCATTTGAGTACTTTACTTTTTTTTTCATTGTCAGCTTACTGTTTCTAAAGAAAAAAATGCCTGTCAATAGCATGAAGTTTGCTAGAGGAGCAAAATGCTAGGCATTAGGGCATGGTAATCCTACAGAGATAAGGATGCTGAACATTGCAATTCCTGCATCTTTTCTTCTGTGACTTTGGATCAAATTGCTTGCCATTTGTGTATATTTTGCTGCATTTGGAAAAAGAAGACAATAGTGCTTCACCGTTTTTCAGTGCTGTTTCTGGAATCTTTATGGAGATCTTTACCCTGTATACTCAAGGGCCAAAAGAATGTGGCCTGTGAGAGTCTGTGTGTCAAAGAAAACATGAGCACCCTTTCAAGTGGTTTGAATATTACCACTAAGGAACATTTCACAAAAGTAAATTAATACTTCAAAATACTACCTGTCACGAAGCACAGCCCTTGCTTAGCTAACCTTGCAATGTTGCAACAGTACTTGCTCTTCCTCATCGTGCCCACACTTGTTCTGTTTCTCAGCTTCCACTCCAAGCACCTTTGTGTCTTGCACAGTATGAAATAGCTTGACATGTGCTAATATAGGTAGCATGTCCTTCTTCCTGACATCTTCTATTATAAAATATATTTACATTTTACACAAAATTCCAGAAAACTTGCATTAAAATAATTTCACATATTTTTAAATATATGAAAGAATAAACTGAAGGTACTGAAATCATTGTAGATAGCATATGCCACTGTATAAATGAAATAACTGCAGAGGGCTTTGATCATCAAATTAAACAGTGCTGAATGGTGAAAGCTCTTAGGTGCACACTGTGGTTATATGTAATTCTACAGGAGCAATTAGAAAGCTCTGAATATGCTTTCTTTGAAGCTGCACTGTCTTTCCAAGAGTCTGTCAAACAAATGACCACTCTTTAAGTCTGACAAGAGCCACATCTTTCTGACATCTAAAAACTTGCAAAGTAAACTAAATTTTATTCTACATGTATTGTATTAATACAAGATGTATGTATTGTAATTAATATTGTAATGTATTGTATTAATACAAGATGAAAATTGTCTACTACGGGTGCACATTTGCACACAGAGAGCAAAACACTGAAGGGCTTACATGATGCTCTTATTCATGTCCTATAATGAATTCTTCAGTAGGTGTAATTTTTACATAACTATTCCATGGAGTTTTGGTACATTTTATCTGCTCAGCATGTTGTGTTTTAGAGAGTGTATTTGCACACATATACACATTCTGCATGCATAGATGCCTCCTTGATCTGCTATTGTCACTTAAATGGACATATTTTTCATCCTGTGAATAGCATACCTTAGAATAAGTGTCCTGTTTAACAGCAATAGTAACATTATTTTTTCTCAAATTAAAACAATTTTTTTCTGTGTTTTTCTATTTCAAGTATTGTGGCTGTTTGTTGGTGTCGGTTTGCTTGGATTAGGTTTACGTTATAAAACTTACCAGAAGAAGTTGGGCCAAGGGGTGAGTGTGAGAACGGTAACTTTCAAATATACAGTAAAATGTGTGTGTAATAGCTTAGGTGTGTTAATTGTGGCTGAAGAAATCTTTGCAACCAAGTATTCAGAAAAACTAATGCATAAATGAAGATGCAAAAATTTAATTTATAAATTAATGTCAAATTGAAATGTCTGAGTCTTTGAGATTTATAATGATGCTGTGAAGGAAAAAAATATTTTGAAAATTTGAGAGGTTCTTGTCTCATATATTCAATTTGAACATTAATTTTATAAATGAGTTTATTTGGATGGTATTCAAACTGGACAAGGCTATTAGCCTGCTGATCTCATGATAGGGGAGTTTGAACAGATAATTTTCTGAGGCTTCTTCCAGCTGAAGGAATTCTATGTCTCTATACTATATCATAACTCTGAACTGGAGCTCTCTGAAAAGTTGGTTGACATAGGTTAGACTTAGACTAGGTATGGAAATTAGATAAAAATTTGAAGATTCCAGTTTTCTATCTTGCAAGAAAATAGGTATTGCAAAGGTAATGAATAACAAGATGGTTAACAGTCATGGGGTTCAGTGTTAGTTTCACAAATATACACAGATTAATACAGTTGGCCTTCTTTTTCAATTAATTCATGTTTTGCCTTATTGTGTGGCAAAAAGTGGTCAGTTCCTCTTAGTAAGATGAAAAAAGTGCATTGTCTCTTTCCTCTTTGTTTACTGTTACTTGTACAAATTAATTTGAAGAATGATGACTTTTAGTCCCTTGTTAATAGCAGATTTAGTATTTTGTAATTCTGACAGCTTTATTAGGAAAATATATTGGTTAAAACAACCCTTTCTGTATGTATTTTATGGCATCATGTATCTGGTGTTTACTGCAAAGCTATAATATGTAAAATTCAAATTTTATTTTACTTTTTTCCTTTTTTTTTTGAGGTTCCAAAAAGAGATTTCTCTGCTATGATCTGGCCTTTTAGATTTGGATATGACAATGAAGGATGGTCTAATTTGGAAGGATCAGCTAATTTGCTTAATCAGACAGGTAACTCTTTTTTCCTGACTTCATTTATATTTGGGAGTATTCATCTGAAAAGACAAGTGAAAACACCTTGGTAACTGAGGCCATTTTTTGCATTAACACAAGAACCTGTGTTTAGTGGTTTTCTCCTCAATTTTTGACCTGTTCCAATACAATCACTTCAGTCAAAAATCCATTTGCAGATGTGATAATTTGTTTACTATGTTTTAGAGAGGTTTCTGATCAGAGGAACATTATATTTCTTATTTAGATTTTTCTTCTCATATTACTGATGAGTTACTTGTCTTAGAGAAATTCTTTGCATAAATGAAATAATATCCTTTTAGATAAAATACAATGGTATTTACAAAGGCAAATATAGTTTTAGGTAAAATATAATGTTTTATAATTTCTATGTGGGTTATTTAAAATGTGAAGCATTATATAATTCCTAAAGGGTGTGAAATTCAAATGCCCTTAACAATGAATATAGAGAAGAAACAGACAAGTCCGTTTCCATCATTGAACCAGTGCAATGTATACAAGAAAAGTAATGATTGTGGTTTGGTTGTCATGATTTCACTGTAAAGAAGAGTGTCTAAACTGTTGCTCATGGACAGGAATTTGCTTGGAAAATTAGCTATAAGAAACAAAAACTTTGGACTCGAGTGCTGTTGCAGAGGTCATTGAAAGGAATTGGCCAGTAGTGCTTGTAGGTGTTCCTCTTTCCCTGCAATACCCATGAGATAGGGTGCACAGGGGACCAACAGTTTAACATCTAAAGAAGCCCAGGGAATTAGGAAATGTCCATGCTGTAATCCCAGTATTTGTTGTTCTCTGGTCTGCCACAGTATTTTCCTGAGCAGCTCAGTCTTTACAAACCCAAGCAATGAAAAGGCACTGACAGGTGCTCCTGTGCAATTCTTGATTTTGTGGCAGGAGTTAGTGAAGAGTGAAGAGACTGATTTAACCTCATTCACTCCATTGTCCCATGACCAAAGGTTCAGAGAGCTGGGCTATGTTGGCTGTCTGGTGATATAAGAAAACAGCCAGGACATTTAATGAATTGAAATTAGGAACATTCTTCTACATAGCTGATTCCATAGTTCATGTCTGGGTGTCTGGGTGGTTATTTAATCCTTGCATATTTATTTATCTATTTTGATGAATGCATTTATTTCTGGCACCTTTAGTTTAAATTAATGAATATTAGAAAAAGTGGTTATTTATGTCCATTGGCATTTCTTTAGGGTAGTAAAATATCACTTCTGAAAAAGACAATTGCTAAGTCAAAAAGGCAGCAAATTCCAAAATATAAATTAATAAAATATAAATTAATAATAATAACCCAAAATATAAATTAATAACATATTAATTAGAAATTAATGTATTTAATATAAATTAACAAGTAAAAATTAATATGTTAAATAATAAATAATATATTTCATATAAATTAATATTATAATGGAGATTATATTAATATAATAACATAAAGTATTAATAGTAATATAATATTAATAATATTTACTATAAATTAATATTATTAAATTATAAATTGATAGTTTATTTATATTAATAATTAACCCAAAATATAAATTAATAATTTTAATAGGTAGAAATGGTATTCTGGAGTTTTATGTTACATGCATATTTTTATATAAAATGCTACATTAACATTGTCAGTAAATGCACTCAGAGTTTGTCTAGAAATTCCTATAAGAAGAGTTCCTGATTTTGAGAGCCATAGAGAAAAGAATGGCTATCTGCTTTAGGGTAGGGGTTGTCTTTAAAGGTGTGGTGGGGTGGTGTGCATTTCTTGGGCTCAGTTCTCTGTTGGAATAGTGAAGATGCCACATGTAATGGCTTTTGTGTCTGGAATTTCTGTTTGCCCTGGAGGGATTCAACATCAACCCTTCTTAATGGTTTCAGTTACTCTTTCTGTGATCAGCATGTATGCTAATGATGTAGAAGGAAAAACCTGGGAATCCATTTAAGAACACTGGGCTCCCATTTTCCCTTCTGACAATGCTTTACACTGCTACATATGATATTTCAAAAGCAAAAAATCTTCTGTGGTTCTGGATGGCCATAATTCCTTATGGAAGGGCTGTGGATGAAATGGTGACTCAATTTGCCTTCCTGTGTAGGAGAACACTCCAAGAGGGGCATAATTTCAGCAAGAAGGGAGCACTTGGAGCCCTTGTTACTGCTGCAGCTATACTGACCTACTGCTCAAGCTGAGTCTGAATGCTTCAGCCATCCTGTGGGCAGCTTGCAGACTCCCACCTTCCTTCAGGCATGGGCAGCTGTTTCTTAGAAAACAACTAAGGAAAATCCTTCCTCAAGGAACTGCATAGTTCTTCCTGTATCCTGCAGTTAAAATATAGGGGAACCCATCATGTTCCCCTGGCAAAACCACACTTCTGCATGTAAACAGGGAGGGACCACAGTGCTTTGAGAAAGTGAGGTGGCTGCAGATGGTCAGCAATCCACTGAGCTGCGAATCCTTCTGCTACCATGCCTTGGGGCTGATGCAAGGTTGCTCCGGGCTGAATAATATTTTGGCAACAGCATCTAGTTTGCTGGTCTTGCACAGGACCCTTTGAAGCACAATAGGATTTGGTAGATGAAGAGAAGTGCAGATGTGCTGTGTAGTGTTTGTTCATCAAATTGAAAGCAGGAGACTTGCTACTGTGGTGTTAATTTCTGTGTGCATAGTAACTAGTGCTTTAGAAATGGCACAAGGTCTGCTCAGGCCAGCTGTATTCTGCAGTCTTCTGTATCTCTGGTCATGCACCAGGGATGAGCCATGGCCAGCAGACACTAAGTGCATCTTCATCAGAGTTTGTGTGGCCTGCAGTAGCCAAAAGTTTGGGCATGACTTTGTTGCCAACATCGATTTGCCTTGACAGAAGGGCTTGTGTCTATCCCTCTGTAATCAAATGGGAAATAATGATATTATGTAGTTATATATAAGTCCCATTTATATGTAACAGTTATAAATGTGAAAATATTTTCTTTTTTTCCCTTCCATCTTAGAAGCAGATTTTATCACTATTATAGAGAGTGATGCCTCTAAACCATTCATTGGAAACCATGATCCAACAATGTGGCTAGGAGAAAGACTGGGATTTTATACAGATTTTGGTCCAAGCACAAGAGATCACACTTGGGGGTGAGTCACATTTACATGTACAGTGGCAGTAAATAGATGTGAATATATTGCCTAATACAAACTGCACTAATACAAAAGCAAAGAATAGTTGGAATAGTACTCACTATAATCACTTGTTAAAGCTTGTCCTTTAGCAACAGGCTTTGATACATTAGCATTACCATGCAGTGTGGATGAAATTTTCCTATTGCTAAACATGATCAGATTTTGGTGCCTGCCCCCATAAGCTACTTTGGTTTTGGTGATACAGAGAATGGCATCCTGCCCTTTAATGTACAGATTTGGAAGTTCAAGTACTGCACCTGATGCCCTTCTCACAGTATTTTGTTTTGGGTTATGAGAATTTTGTATTTCAGACTTTAAAATGTGATCGTTGGAAAAGGTATGAGAAATTTTGAATTCATATCTAGCTTGGGCTGTAATAATGGGAAATGGGAATAGAAAGGTACATGTCTGTTTGACCAGATATTTTGTGTCTAATTTTACCTTAATGCTTGACCACCTACCAGTTGCATATCTTTAAATATGTTTGTCCTCTAGAAAAATACTGGCATATAATGTAACTTTTTATTTTCATGGGTATATACACATTTCTGTGGTAGATAGAACTTCCTACTGATGTTGCTATGGCTATTGAATTTTTTCAATATGTGAGGGGCATTTAGTAATTTTCTTCTTCCAGATCTTGCCTATTTGAGGCAGAATGGGGGAGAGAAGTCATTCTATGAGATTTTTTAAATGAAATACATTGAAAAACCTGATGCAAAATGTCAAAACAGAAGCTGACAAAAGAGAAATCTCTCATTTTAAAGATGTATTTCTACCTACTTCTACTTTTAATATACCTTTAAATTTCTGGTAGCATAAAATTCTGTTTTGTATGAAATACAGATCATGAAAATCTCAGTGAAAGACTTCATATTTATAGAATGATATTTCTTAGTGTAGGAATTAACGTGATAATATATTTTTAGACATGTAGTTAAGCAGTATTTTGGAGGGAAACATTCTATATTCAGAAAAATCCACTAGACATAGTTTGTATTCTGGACTTACAGTTTTTTCAGTGACAGTTAGTCTTCTGCTCACATTTATCTGCTTAGTTCACACCTTTGATGCTTGTGAATCACAAAATGTAACTTTTTGCCTCTCCTCATGTAGGATTATGGCACTATCCAGGTATCCAATTGTAAAATCGACCCATCACCTCCTTCCATCTCCAGAGGGAGAGATTGCACCTGCTATCTCCCTGACTGTCAACTTCACAGGGAAGCTGATTGATTTTGTTGTTGCTCACTTTGGAAATGAGGAGTGCGTATTTCACTTATTTTTACATAGAGTGTAAAGTAATGTAATGTAATCTGTGAACTTCTGGGATTTATTTTGTACTCTTTAAAATCTGCTGCTGTAATACTGGTTGTAGCAGAGCACATTTGAAGAAATACTATGACAGTTTAAAATTGGTTAAACTACTGGTTTGAAATGTTGAAGCATTTTTTAATGTGTCATGCAAAACTCAGCTGAACCTACTATCTGGATTACTAGACATTTAAATATACAGTTCTGCAAAGTCACAACAAATGATAGGATGCAACTCAGGGTAAGACATCATCCTTCTGACTTTTTGCATGTGGAATAGATGTATTACATTCCACAATGAATGCAGATAGGTACAGTTAGAGATAGACAGCATTAATGGAAAAATGTGGTTTTGTTTTTTTTTTTTTAAGTAACAAAGCTGAAACCTTCAATAAAGGACAGTGTTGAAACAGCAGCAAAAATATCCATCAGTGTCCTTCTGAGAGTATGCAAGTAGAAATAGGAAGTCTGGTCTCTGAATTCAGAAAAGCAATATTATACCAATAAATCAACTAAATTATGGAAAATAATAAGATATATATTTCAGTTCTTGAAAACCATGTTTTGATTAACTGTGTGTAAAGAATATTAATAAAAGATAGTTTTGTGAATGCTCCATGTAGCTGTTATTTCTGTTATATTTGATGGGATATCTAGTATGTTTGTGGCTATGTAGTGATATCTGGAATTTAAAAGAAAATGTTACAATTCACAGAGTGGCATATTTATGGATAGGATGCAGAATATTATAACACAAAGAAGCTGCTCAGAAAACCAAAGGAATTTTCTATATCCCATTTCCTTCCCCTGAGTAGAAACTGCATCAAACGTTCAAATTGTTTATAGATTTCCCATTTATTAAACAAATATAGTTGTCAGAAATCACTCCCCATTTTTAACTCTAGAGCAGGATTTAATTCTGTGCCTCACACAGATGATTAGACTTGCCTGTCTGAGAAACTCTTTGTCAAAGTAGAGAAAATAACACTGTATAATACCTTCACAAAGAAATGAGATAAAGATGAAAGAGAAAATATGAGAAGTCCATGGGAAATGAGTGCAAATTAGATTGTGTTTCAGAGGGGAATGACTTTGTAACTAAATACTGCACATAACTGCTCATTTTTAATATTTTTTTCTTCTGCTGCTTACATTGACATAGAATATAGAATACTGGATAACTAGGGTTATTTTAAAATTATTTTAAAAATGTGGGACTATAACTATGTGCTTTTAAAAGACCCTATCTTCTGGAGAGGTGCATTCTAGAAAGAGCAGCTAGCTAAGCAGGCAGCTTCACATATACCTGGGTCAGACTTCTTCTTAAGGGGGATTTTTTTGTCTTCTGTCTGTGTGCTCTTTCTCCTTAATTCGGTTGCTTCAGTCAGAAGCAACCACTATTTAGGAAGCATAGCTGCACTTAAATTGTTGTCTTCTTCAGGGTTTACATGTTCAAAATCAGCTCTCTTTGCCACTGTTTTTACCTGTTAGCCCAGACTATCAAAATCTAGAAGACAACATGATTTATGCAACCATTTAAGGTCATTAACATAAAGAATCATAGAAAGAGAGCTGTTTATTCATTATTTTATGACAAATCCAAGGCTGGGGAGTGGGGTCCAATGAAGTATTTTACTAGCCTCCACTTTAAGCTATCACTTTTGGTCATGTTGGAACTCTTGTGTAAATCTTGTTAAAGAGATGTGAAATGCATGCCAAATGTAATTAAGTAATGCTAATGGGATGATGTAACTCTAGTTACATTTCATAAATTATGGGACCCAGACTTTAAGACTTTATTTACCATGATCTATCCATGAGAAAATTTATTTAGCGTGTAAGTTCTTTGTTACCCACCACATCATTCTAGCTAGCACAGTTAAATTTTAAGTGCAAGCAAAGACAAAGCCTTAGATAACCAAAACACTAACATTCACATCTCTAGTGATGATATCAGTATTAAAAACAAAACAGTAATAGAAAAAGTTGTTCCTGTGATGGATAGAAAGAGAATGTTAATTACATCTACCATGACCATCTGGCTTTTATCAAATGTAGTGATAATTTTGAGCTTTCTGTGAACTTTCATACTCTCTAATATTGAGCAAAAAAATGGTACCAGATTGATTTGTAGTCTACTATGTCATAGTGCAGAGATTGTGAGCTAAAATATATATGTCTTAAAATCTTTTCCATTTTCTTTCAGAGAGGACTTGGACAGAAAACTCCAAGCAATAGCTGTTTCAAACCTATTGAAGACTAGCTCTAAGCAAGTTGTGTTTCTAGGATACATCACTTCAGCTCCTGGATCCAGAGACTATACTGAATTAATAAAAAATGGAACCGTGCAGGTAATATGAAAATAGTGCATCTTTAAAGAAAATATATATTGGGAATACTCAGCCTAATATTTCAAATTGATAACTTAAATATAGACAGAGAAGAGAACACATGACCATTTTCAAATATAGTCTTTAGCTACCTCATGATATCTTGCAAAGGTGGAGTTACATAGTGAAAGAACAAGAGGCAATGGACAGTGGCTGCCCCAAGGGAAATGTCTGTTAGAAGGAATAAAAAGGTCACAGGGTTGTCAAGGATTAGAACAGGGGCCTGGTGAAGTTGTGAAACCTTCATCCTTAGGGATGTTCAGAAGTTAGGTGCATAAGGCCCTGAGCAATCTGCCTGAAGTGACTTTGACCAAGGTTAGGAATAGGTGACCTCCAGATAGCCTCTAATTTCTGTGATTCTTCTGTTTTAAAAATGAGCTCTGTGTCAAGTGATACCAAAAAGTTGTCTCATTTGTCCATGTCTAACAGTGAGCTTTTTTTCTTTCTACCGTATTACAATGTTTTAGGCAACATATTTTTCTGCAGTGAGTTTACATATTGGTCCTATTACTGATTTAAAGCCTACCCAGATGAGCACTTACCTTATTTGTTTGACTTTTTTTCCCCTTTCAACATCCCTCTAGGATATTGACAGTACAGATCGGGACAGATGGTGTAGCTATATTATGTATCGTGGAGTAATAAGGTATGTTAAAGTAAATCACTTATTTGTAGGCTTAAGCATCTTTATGGTTATCAGTTTTATAATCTCTTGTAAGTGATTGTGGAAGAGTCTCAGATCCCTGAACAATTATTACGGACAGTTGGAGCTATCATAAAATTGTGTGAAACATTGGTCTTAGGGTCACAAGAATGGGTGTATCTCTGAATATAATTCACAAAGACACTATTAAAAGTTTCATCATTCTGTGTCAAAAGCCTTCAGATCTACTCTGCTTTAGTAGCATAAAACTACATTTCTCCAGAGCTCTGGCTTTGCAACTTCATTCTAAAATGTGAAGGCTAAGACCAAGTTTGTATGTGACATGGAAGATACAAATTTTGAACTATGATTTAGGGTTTCTTGAAGCAAAATACTGATCTAATTCAGCCAATATTTATGCTGGATTTAGTGGCAACTTGAACTGTGTAAGCCTATATTGAGGCACAGGACCTATGCACTCCATATCTTTTAATACCAAATGGTTTACAAATAGTTCTCTTGGTGGTATTTGTACAGGAATGAAATTCATCTTCTTTTGAATAAACCATGCAAATTTTGCCGTGTTCACAAGTCATAAACTTGATAGCTGTCTTAACAGTATTGAGTAAAAAATAAAAAAAAGGCAACTAAAAAACTCAGCTAAAACTCTATTCGCAATTTGATTTTTTCACATTAATCATTCAATTGATGCCTGAGTTCCTTTCTTGAATATTGAAGTATTTTCAGTGAAAATTTGGTGAGCTTACACATTCACTCATATTCTAAAGCTGTAATTTTTAAAAAAGGTTTTTAAACACAGAACTTATTTTTACTGTCAAGCACAGTTTTTCAGTTTTTATGCTTGTGACATGGTATCACGATCCTGTTTATGGAACACTTTCAGTTTTTTGAAGGTGAGATTCACAGAAATGGAGAACTGCATTGATAAGCTAAAGCGTAACTCTTGAGAAAAATAAAATACATTCATTAAGAATGTGATCAAATTGTGGCAAGTTATTTCTTCAAACTAACTCTTCTCATATTTGACAGGCTGGGTTATGCCCGCATATCTCATGCTGGTTTAAGTGATTCAGAAGTCCAGATGGCCAAATTTAGAATTCCAGATCATATGGATAGCTTTGTTGACAATGACAGAATTGTCACTGATCCCAGCCAAGTTCCTGAGGACATCCATTTCAATCCCAGGTCAGTGTGTCTCATAGGAAATGAAGGGGATGATGTACCTGGCATCTTGTAAAAGAGAAGTCTAGGAACAGAATTATTTCTAAAGTGAGAGGCACTGATCAGTACCCAACTGAGCAGAAGAGTAGAAGTCAGGAACTTCTGATTTGTAATTCCATTTTTTTGATTAATTTGGCATGTGCCCTGGTAAAATCAGTCTGTTGTGTCACAGCATAAAGTGCAAGCAATGCTCATTTAAGCAGGCAATTTCTGAGATTGTTTCATAGGGATATTTGCCAAGTGTTGTGATGACTCTTGATGGATGATGAAAGATCTTCCATGTTTCCAGCACTTTGGAGATTGGGCTCATAATATACTGTTACTTAGAATATTAAATAAAATATGTACAATAAATATTTTTTGCATAAGCATTTTAAACCATACCATATAATTGGAGCAAAAATTAAAAATAATGCCTAAGGCAGTATGTTGCATGTGTCAAGGAGGAAAAGAAAAGAACGAGGTTTAATGTAAAAGAGTAATTTATTTCTAAATTGCCATCATTTTTCCACTGGTATCGCATAAGGAAGAGATATATAGAGGAAGATATTTATTCTATTATTAATAGTGAAAGAGTCATGAAGTTTGTGACAGAGAATAATTCCCAGGAATGCCATGTTTACTATTCCCAACATGCATAATGCAGAATATATTACTTTCTCATATACATCTGACAGTTGAGTGTACTCACTTTTTATGTACCACTCAGCCACTGGCTTCCTGACTAAGAAGCGGTTTGTCCTGACTTTTCCACATGATGGAACTTGCCTACAGTTAGCACTCATGTTCAGATTATTCTCAGTTGACTTCAGCACAGAATCTTGTCCTAGTTTCTTTTGTCTGCCTATAATCAGAAATATTAAAATGTATTTAACTTTTTCTGATTAACCCTACTTCTGTAGAAATACAGTGGCAGTGCTCTTAAATATTACTTAGCACTGATATTTTGAATAAGTACTCCATTTTACTTTTGCAAGTCTGTCTACCAAAATAGTCAGTTGTCAAACTTTCATATTTAAATTTGGCGTGAAAAATTTCAGTTTTCATCATAATTTGCAAAAGTAAGATGTACAATATTTATAACAGGGTTGACAGTTTTGATACTATGGGTGGTATGGGTGTTTAAATTGTATCTCCACTAAAACCAAGACTAAAAACTTAGCTTAGAATTTAAGCAGATAATTGCAACACTCAGCTTTTTCATCTGGAGTTCAAATTATAGACTGCCTATAGCATCAGTGGAATCAATGTAATTAATTGTCTCCAGTATACTCAAAGACCTTTAGTAGGAGAGGGTTCATAGAACCTGATTTACATTTAGTAGTGTTGGGGCCTGTTTCTGAAACAAATTGCCTAGAACATTCAGAAGTAGGGTAGTAACTGTATGATTTAATTGCATGAGATAAATAATGTTGTAATAGTATTACTTTGTTTAATATTTTTTTTAGGTTTGGATCTTATAAAGATGGACATAATTATGTGCCTATTCATCACTTTCATATGAGCACTCCTAAATATTTTAAACGGACAAATTAGAGCAAGAAAATAAGATTATTATTGAGACCAGCAAGAAAGGTTTGTTGCTTGACACTGAATTTACAGCCAAAAAGATTACAGTGTTTAAGGATGAGCAACTCCAATGCTGCATAACACTGTGAATGTCTGTGTAATAGTTGGTGGCTTCTTGAATGAGCTGCCATCACTGTGAGGGAGGGAAGATGCCTGCATTTTGATAAACTGGTATCTACATTGGTCGGGTACCTACTTTGTATGCAACAAAGCAAGGATGGGAACTTGCTTTGGCAACAACTTCTTCGTCTTTTGGGGAGGTATCATATATCAAGATGTTTCAGAGTGCTATTGCTGCAACTGGAATAAAAAGATTGACCTAGGGTTTTTCAAAATAGAAATTTTGAAAAATAGTGTTATTTTTTAATTGGGAGGTATGCACTAAGTATGTGTCTGAAGTGTGTGCCTTGCTGCTATTCTACATTTTATTCTTAGATGAGTTTTACAACAATTTGCAGATTATTGATGTTCATAATACTGGAGAAAAAAAGGTAACTTTTATAGACTTCATTTTATTAACTAGATATTAGGCACTTAAATGTTTTTACAAAGGGAAGAGTAGAGTACCTCTAAATAACGATGGTTATGAGACACCTACATGAACACACTGATGAAGAATTAAAAACAATTGTGCTCAACATAACAAGGTTTCTGAAAATGGAAACAAGTTGGTTGTAACTTTTATTTAAAATGAACTGTAATAAAGGGGAAAAAAATTATCTTTGTTTCTTTGCTAGCATCACACTTCAGTAGGACTAAATAGAGATGTTGCTTTTTTGTCCTAGGCAGTGAATTCCCTGTTATGCCATGCACATGTGACCCAATGTAAAATCTTGTGTCTTCTTGGAGTCTCTTGCAAATGTCTTTTATTTAACTCCTGATCCTTCAGTATACATGCAGGGCTTCCCTTTAACAATGAGGACACCTTCAGTGTTGTCCAAAGGATGTTTCCTGCTTCTGAGAAACATGTTAGGTAATTTAAGTGATGCATTCAGTTTGGAAACCACATTTGTGATACTAGTATTTCATACTGTGTGTCTTTCCAGTCATATCTAAGCATACAATAACTGGGAGGAATAGGATATGTTGCAGGAAAGAGGGTGGATTTGTTTTCTCCCTCTAATTCTTCACCATATAACTTTAAGAAGAGCTTGAGCATATTCCATTTTATGGTTTCTCTGTGTAAGTAAATACAGGATGTGTTCTTATCCATGGTTTCTTGTTCTGTGGAGTCAGGTAATTGCTGCCAGCACCACACGTATCGCTTTATTCTGGTCACGTATAATTTTGCTCCCTTGTTTTTAGAGCTGTATTTCTGACAGTGAAACTGATCACTGGTCTTTATTGACAGAGGATATATGAAAGGTATTCCAAAATCTCAATGGTCATGCATTCATCATCTCAGATGTAACTGACAATAACCAGCCATTGTTGAACTAATTTCTCAACTATGGGTGCTTTGTGTGTCTTTACAAGCCCTCTGAACTTGTTCTTTGTGTGCCTCTCCAGCAAGAGAGGATAAATGATGTTGTTGAGAGATACAAATAATTGAACTTTTAGCACTTTGCTTCTTCAAACACCAGTAGACCTTGTCTCTTCTTTCTCCCAGCTTGCAAAAGCAGCTGGTACTGGCACCAGTTTTGCACAGTGCTCTGAGTATCCTCATTTATTTTCAGCACGTTCTCATGCTAGCTCTGATGCACATCCAGCCACAGGTTTGCCTTTTCATAGCCTGTAAAGCACTTAACATTATCTTACCACATTATTTAACATTCTTCACAGACTGACTCTGCAAATACCTTGTAATGTGAGTAGATTATTAATGTGAAATGCAAGAAATTATACAAATAAGTACAAAATCTTGTAAACTCCCAATTTTTTAACAATTCAAAAATAGGATGAGGATATTTTTCAAGAAGCCAGACAGCATAACATGACTTGCATAACAGATTAGATTATGAATCATATCTATATGTAATCTTCAAAGTCTCTGAGCACACTTTAATGGATTTTTTACAGGATTTAGACATGCTTACCCCATTAGAAAGGTTCATGTTGACAGTAAAAAAAATCTAAAGTTTGAATATTCTCTTCTTCTAAATAGCTTGTGTAGTTTAATCTATGTAATTAGTAGCTAATATTTGTTGACATTTGCATTATTTTATCAGAATGATTAAGAAAAAACATGACCACAAACTGTTTGTATACTTCTTCTACACCTGTGGTTATAATTGGGAAGCTAAAATGAAACTTTATTTGTCCTTACATCTACACACTGATCTAATCCCTTGATATTTAAGTGGTTTAGAAAAATGTGCATTATATATCTAAGTCACAATCATTGGTTCAAACTATGACAGAAATGTGCTAGAACAGGTCCTGCTGCAGGGGTGTCTGACTAATCTTTTAGTTTTCTAATAATACTCTCCTCATGTCAGCTTTCATAAGAAAGTATGTTACAAAAGAAGAAATTTGTGGATATCTTTATGCATTCAGAGATGGCATGCAAAGAAAATAATATATAAAATAATGTATAAAGGTTTGAACTTTTGCTTGTGGTAAAAGGTCTAGATTACATATATCTGACTTCTAAATAATATGTATTCTGTTGTGCTCCAAATCCCATCCTCTGAAATTCTGTGCAGGTCTGTTGAAGTTTGTAGGAATGTACAGGAAGAGATAGCAGTACATCAGGGGCCTATCAGTGTTTATCTTGGAATGAGAAAAAAACTCCAGGTAACATATATGAGAGCAACTTCTGAGAGTACTGGATTCTTCAGCAGCGTGGAGACTCCAGTCTCCTCTTACATATATATTCCTGCCTTGAGTCAGGCACAGTGACTCCAGTGTTGTTACAGAGCACTCCAAAACCTGGGAGCTGCAGTTCAAACCTCTTGGGTTAAGAAAAACCTGAAATTGTTATTTCCCATTTTCGAAAACAGTACTGCAGCTGCAAGCTGAGCAAAAGTTGGACACACCCTTTGGTTTTGAACCAGACTTGATGTTATTGAAACAAGTTGTTGCAGCTTAAGTGTACAGGTAACCAGTTCCCACCTGTCCCACTGAAACAGAACACTGAGTATGTTCATGGTCCTCTGCTGATAGTGAGGGAGCTTTGTGGCCCCAGAGAGGGGTGCTGGCTGTTTTGATGCACCCCCAGGGTTTAGGAATAAATTCCTAGCTGCTCTCAAGCTTGGCTGCTTAGAGTTGCAGCATGATGAATGAAGAGAATGTAAAATTTTAAACTGAAGCTGAGAAAGACCCTATAACTGGAATGTAAGAATTACATATAGGTATCAGCAGTGCTGAAACATGATTTTTTTTCCCTTGTATGTAAAATGGCATTTATTTGCAGGATGTTACAGAAGGACCTTTGGGCCAAAGTCATGTACCTGTGGAGCAGGAGTTAGAAAACAGACTTTTCACTTCAACAGGGAACACAGTATGGGTCCATGGGACAGGGAGATTAAAATAAGCTGAACTGTTTAATGAGTAGTGCTTTGAAGCAGTTTGTATAACCTGCAGCTGCTGGTTTCTGCCACTTGAGGTCCTCTTTTGTCCCTAATTGGTACAATTTGCTGATACCAAGCAGGAGTAACTTACAGGTGTTAGGCTTTTTCATTGTAACTCAGGGTGAAAAATCTTTTCAGAAGCATTACACAAACCGGTGTTGATTTGGGTATCAGTTACATCTTCTTATCTGCAAATGATTTAGAACTGTGATTGCTGGACTTTATTTTCTTATAATACCCTGCACTGTGCTTTGTTGCTGCTTTATCTGCTTTCTTAATGTTCGGCATATTCTTCTTTGTAATGTTTTTCTTTTAAATACAGTTCTCTTTCCCTTCTGACTTTTAAAACACATCATGATATGTGATTCTGGTGCCTAAAATTAATTTTCAAGCTTGTTTCTAAGCAAGGCAAGATGAATTGAAGTATTCAAGAGATATAATGACTTTAGCAATCTGGAGTCTGATATCCTTTGGAAATAGAGTTTCCTTTTGGAAATTCTTTCTCAGACACATCTGCACTGTTTCTGATAGTGAAGAAGATACAACTAAATGGCTCCTCTTTCTCTTGTTATCCAGTATGTTTCACAGTCTGCAATTAAGATTTTTTTTTTTAATGTGATCGCCATTGTAGCTATCAATTTAAAAAAAAAGCAGTGCAAACATAAAAAAAGCAAACAATGGCAGTCTTTTTCAGAAAAAAAGTCTGCAGTTCCAAGGTTGATCTAACAGTGTGCAAACTGGCAGGTGCATTTACTGCCACTCTTAACTTCCTCACCTGTGCATTGATGTGAGCACTTGCATATATGTGTAGTAACCCAGATCTGGATATTCAGCTGGCTGGGAAAACAAACAAATAAAGAAAACCTAAAGAAGCGTTGAGAGGTTTGTTTTGTTTTGGGATTTTTTGCTTTTTGGGAGCATTGAGGACAGTCTTGCTCTTTGACCTACCTTGCTATTTAGCTGTCCAAGTAATTGCACTGGCACAAAATAAAGGATGCCAAGAGGGTTAGTATTAAGACACTAATGGTGGAACTGCTTAAGCTGTCTCAGTCCATGGGGTGGTTCCACCCTGGCTAGATACCAGATGTCCACCAAAGGCACTCTATCACTCCCCTGTGCAACTGCACAGGGGAGAGAAAATATAATTAAAGACTTGGAGATTCAGATAAGAACAGGGAGAGATCACTCAGCAGTTTGTGTCATGGGCAAAACAGACTTGACTTCAGGAAATTAACTGAATTTATTGCCAATCAAAATCAGAGCAGGACAATGAGAAGTAAAACAAATCTTAGGAACACTTTTCCCCTGCCTCTCCCTTCTTTCTGGACTTAACTTTATTCCAAATTTTCTACTCCTCACAAACAGTGGCTCAGGGAGATGGGGAATGGGGGTTATGGTCAGTTCATTATGTACTGTTTCTGCTGCTGCTTCCTCCTCAGGAAGAGGAGTCCTTCAGCTGCTCCAGTGTGGGGTCCCTCCCATGGGAGACAGTCCTACACAAACTACTCCAACCTGAGTTCTTCCCATGAGCTGCAGCTCCTCATGAACTGCTCCAGTGTGGGCCACTCTTCTACTCTTCCACGGGGTACAGTTCTTCAAGAACAGGCTGCTCCAGCATGGATCTCACACAGGGTCACAAGTCCTGTCAGGACCCTGCTCCAGTGTGGGCTTCCCCCAGGGCCACACCTTTCCTTTGGGCGTCCGCCTGCTGCAATGTGGGGTCCTCCATGGGCTGTGTAGGTGGATCGCTGCAACCCTGTGGAGCTCCATGAGCTTCAGCACAGTCTGCAGGGGAATATTCACTCTGCCACCTGGAGC